AGATTAAATACATTTGAGAGTATCATACGGGGCTAGAATAGTGTTACCCCACAAATAGTTATGAAGATCATGCCAGATCTTTACTTTAAAGTAACTGTTCTTAGCTTTTGACGTGTTTTTTGCCGTGCTGAGAAAAATCGCCGTAAGAACATTCGAGAGTTGTCAAATTTCCTCTTCAAAAATTTTAATTGTTGAGGAGAGTTACGAATATTTTTCCTTGACATTTTCAGACACTGTAGGTTTAGTTGTGAGCAATTTTATTTGAGAAATTGAAGAAGAGATATATTCATAAGTTTATCAGTAATTTGTTAATCAGTTAATCAGAAATGCGGCAACATTTGAAGGTTCATGTGGCGTTTTTCCTTAGCGCGGCAGCTTAGCGCACTCTGTTTGTAACGCAAAGCCCATTCCACATTCGACGAGCTTATTTGGCAAATAAGATGCTCAACACAACATTCATCTGTCACCAAGAGTCAAATGCGCTAGTTGTAGACGTGTCTCGGCGTTTAAATCTTGAAGATTGGTATAAAAAGTAATACGATCCCTCCAAACCATAGACTTTATATCACAGATACCTCCGCAGTCTTAATTCCAGCAACGGGCTGAGGTAAAAGGCAATCCCAGAGATGAAACCAAATATCCTTCAAGCCGAATGATGAGTGATGAATGCCCGATTAAGCAGTCTGCAAAGCAAGTTTGTCATACCAGGCCAGGCCTTGTTCGCGAAACAGATTGCGTAACATCTGATCATGCCATTCGGCGAATCTTACCATTAGTTTGAGGAAATAACTTTAAAGAAAATAAACTTTTAAGGGTCTTTAAAATATATACCAGGGGGCACGGGGTGCGACCCCTGGCCGCCACGTAGTCCACTGCTCAGAGAGAGCGCTTCGCGCCCTCCAAGGCCCGCGTAGTGATCCTCCGTAAGTTAGTCTAAATAGAACGGGCTCAGCTTGAGATTTTTTCCTATTGATAGCTCTACAACTCATGAACGCCGGCCCGGTAAATCTTCAGAACGAATTCCGACAAAAAATGAACATTTACCCTGTTTGGATGGAAGAATTCACAGTTTTATCACATGACTGCTGATTCATATTTTTCTCGCGGGTTGCCATTTGTTACTCTACTACTTATACCACTCCTGTTCATTGCAACCACCCGTTTCTACCAATATATCGCTCTATTTTCTCTTTGCCTCCTTTGTTTATAGCCTATAGCTTTGTCTATCAATATCAATAATCAACCCGCTGGGTTGGGAAATCTGGTCTCAAATTTTAACGGCAAATAGACTTATCAATATTTACAACCGTATTCACAAGTTGTCCCTCAAATTGCATTTTTTCCTATGAGGCGTCATATAGTTTATTGTGATACGGAAGACCTCCGGAGATCTCCAATATAGCACCCGCCTCCACCATTAGATCGCTCCATTTTCACTTCGTCTTCCTCATCCATCGCTTTGTCTATCGATACCAATAATAATCAGTCCACTAGTCATTTTAATCAGGCAAGCGACTCTCCCTTTCACTCAAGCAAAAGTTTTCAGCATACCATTGTCATGGGCAGTCACGGACTTCGTGGAATGGGAAATAATATTTCGGTCATATTTTCGTCCATCAATTTGTCTATCAATTTCAATAATCAGCCCACAATAGGCAACCCAGTCTCATCAGCACCCGCCTCTCCCAATATATCGCTCCATTTTCTCTTTGCCTCATTTGTCTATTGCTTTGTCTATCAATTCCAATAATCAGCTATCTGGTCATTTTGATCAGGCAAGCTACTCTCATTTTCACTCGAGCAAAAGTTCATTGCGAACCCATTGTCATGGGCAGTCACGGAATTTGCGGAACGGGAAATAATATATCGGTCATATTTTCGTCCATCAATTTGTCTATCAATTCCAATAATTAGCCCACTGGTCATTTTATTCAGGTGACCCAGCCTCCTCAGCACCCGCCTCTCCCAATATATCGCTCCAATTTCTATTTGCCTCCTTTGTCCATTGCTTTGTCTATCAATTCCAATAATCAACCCACTGGTCATTTCAAGCGGGCAAGCGACTCTCCCTTTCACTCGAGCAAAAGTTCGCAGCAAACCATTGTCATGGGCAGTCACGGACTCGTCGGGATGGAAGAGAATATAAATCAGTCTATTGATAGCGTCAATGGGACGTGCAAGTGCGTAGAGATGGAAAGGAACCGCGACGACGGCGACGGAGGGGGCGTCGCGGCGCGGGCGAAGGTCAAGGCCCGACGCCGGCACCGCGGCTGCCTCTGACGAATAGAGGAAGTGATCCGCAGAACGGAACGGGAGTCAGGCCGGAACCAGTCGAGTCGCACTCGAGCAGCCCCAACGCCACCACAGCTGATCGAACGGCCAAGTGAGAACGCCTCGGGTGTCTTGCCAAGATCAACAGCTTCGCTGTGCGCAGCCGCAGTCAACGTCAGCTCAACGTCAGCATCGGCGTCAGCCTTGCCATAGACCGTGAACTCGGAGCGGGGAGCCGGGGCAGGGCCCGGACCGGAACTCCGTCCAACGCCTCGTGGCTCGGCCCGGGATGAAGTCACTTCCTAATTTCCCTTTCGTCCTCAGCCTCGTTCCGAGATCGACCATTCCCCTGGATGGCGTCCACTATGCTCAGAAAGAGGGGAGTATGTCTGGTCATCTACTTTCTACGAGGAAGACCCTTGAGTTGGACTACATTTCGCTGTTGGCCACTGGTAAAAAAAACCTCTTGGACCAATGCCGCGGTGCATTGACTTAAGAGTGCAGTTTCTTGTCGCCAGATTTAAGAGTCTTCAACTCTTGTTTCAAGCGCATTTTGCATTGAAACAAGAGTCCAGACTCTTAAATCCGGCGACAAGAAACTGCACTCTTGAACAGTGGCGTGGCGTGAATTGCGATATATCGATTGTTATGCCACTTAAACCTATGGAAAATGATCGATAAACAGAGTGTTCGCAGCGAACACCTTAATAATCGATTCTTTACCATAGGTTTAAATGGCATTACAATCGATACGTCGCAATCCACGCCACGCCACTGCTCTTGAACGAAGAGGTTTTTTTTTACCAGCGGGAACTATGTTTCGACGGTGCGGCATAAGTCCGCAATAACATATCTCGTTTGCGGTGTCTGAAAATCTCCGCCTCTTTGTTATTTTTTTTTTTAAGAAGAACAAATCGACATCATTCCTTGAAGTTTTTGCAGAATTTTCCTCGCACAGAGGAGAAAAATCACGACGGTTTTAAAGAATAGCCGTTGAGTAGTTTCCCGTTTAAAAAATAAAAGAATGATGACAGGAATTGTTTTTATTGTGAGCTGGTAATTCAATTTTTTTCTAATCAATGCTGAATAAAAATGTTATCCCGGTTCGAAGTTAATATCAGTTACTTTCGTTGTGCGAACAGGGTGCTATGCTACGTTTTAAAAGAGGAATCATTTAACAGAATGCTTAAATTCCAACCTTGTCTGGTGGTCCACTACTCCTTTACATCCTGATGAAAGTGGGACTTTTCGGAGACTTAAACGCGTGTATAAGAAAAAAAGAGCTCATTGGTCGCAATTTACACTGCGAGATATTTTGGCCTCGCAATTTTTTTGCAGAGTTCTATATCAAGGACAAAATTACCGCAAATTTCTCGTTTCTCGTTTTTAGGAAAAGACCCAGTTGTCCACTTTTAAATTTCAATACATTTTGAGCGTGCCATGTTTCGTGAGAAACTCATTGGAAACCGATCGTTAGATCAATCTATATAATCGCAAACTGTCGCAAAGCTGCTACGCCACTGGCATGCAAGAACTGCATTGAAGGCGTTGAGACCGCCAGTGCAGAATAATATCGGTGGATTGTCATGTAAATTGGGACCAATGAACTTGGGAACCGCTGAGCATTCTACCTCGCGGAGGTAAAACCACCTAACTTAAATTATTATCCGAAAGGATATAAGCTGTTCTTGCGTGGCAGGGCAGCATTGTCAAGGCCCGACACATGCCGCGGAGTTCTGTCATTATATTCCGGCTCCGGTTCATTTGACGACGATGAGCTCATAGCAGAGACATGAACGCCATACGCCATGGTTGCCATGTTATGCGATTACGTGTGCCTTTTCCTCCACGTCTTGCAAGTAAAATGCTGATTTTTTAGCCGATCTGGCAACAAAACACACGCGGATATGGACGTGACGTGGACGTGGGCACAAGAGCCACATTTGCATAATGTCTCTCTGTCCGCGACCTATGATGTTGTGCTATGAAAAAACGCAGTATGAACATTCAAACGTTGCCACGTTTCCCCGATGAAATATTAATTTTATAGAATAGTTATGAGTATTTCTCCTCGAAATTCTCTGGGACTTCAGATTACATCGCGAAGAAAATTCTTCGAAAAATTGGAAGGAAAATATCTGCAAGTTTTCCTAAAAATCCAGATTTTTATAGAGAGGAATTTGGCAACGTCTGAAGGTTTATACGGCGCTCTTGTGTAAAATGGCACTATATGACCTTGCACCTCATCAGCTATTTTTGTTATCATTCCTGACCGTCATTGTCGTTCCAATATAACACACTCCACTCCAACGAAATAAAGCAGTCTGGACGACGCTGCTTCTTGTATAACTATTTACACGCCCAAATGCTGCCGTGTTAAAGAAAAGCGCCGTATAAACCTTCAGGCGTTGTCAAATTTCCTTTGATAAAATGCGAATACCTGGTAAATTTGAGAATATTTCCTCCCGATTTTATCAGATGATTTAGTTCGGAATTTTACCTAAAGATTCTAAAAATTAAAGGAAAAATATTGATAACTTTCCGAAAAAATAAACATTTTATCGAAGGAAATTTGGCAACTCTCGAATTTTCATACGTCGTTCTTCCTTAGCACGGCAGAACAGTACTCTGTCGAAAGGTGATTTTTGAAAATTTGATGGTTTTGGTTTTCTTCATATAACCTGTTAAATTTTATTTTAGCTCATGCAAACAATTTTGATCTGTTCTAGTGGCAAGATGCGGATCAAACTGGCACGTGGGCGAAATTGATATAGAAAGTTCTTATCGAGCTTTCTCTACGGAACTGATTTCCGCCAAACTTGGGGCCTACATAGGCTTAGGACATGTCAACATCACTCTGAAAGGCAAGTACCTCTTCCCACACTTTGTCAGTCGTCTCACGAACTAAAAGCGACGCAACAAATACGGATATAACAATAATTATACAAATGATTTTAGTGTCTTACCTCGAGATGAAAAATTTTCTGTTAAAGATAAAAATATATGAGGATAACGTTGTAATGGACCACGCAGATTAAAACTTGAACTACATTTCGCGAACCATTACCAAATCCATTTGCTCGGTTGTTTTTCTTATCCTTGCGTTAAAGTCACCAAGGATATATTACAGTGGCAAACGAATCTACTGAGCAAGTGTTACAGGACATAAACATTCTTTTGTTGATGCCGAGCCACTAGAAGTTTTCATGAAAATAAGAAAATCAACCCCCTTCGAATGGTTATGTAACAACACGCATCTCCAATTGCGACGTTGCAAATTGTCTTTTATTAGTTACTTTTTAATGGAAAATTCATACATTCTGATATTACGTAAAGATTCTGGCCGGATTTAGAACTTTCCTTTCTCATTTTCTCATCGACCATACCTCCCCCCCTCCCTTTTTGAATCATGTAAAAATTGGCTGAACCCTCCATCCCCTAATAATTATGGAAATGACGAAGAAAGTTTGAAAAATAGCTAGAAAATTTTATTCTTCTTGGGTTGTTTTCTTAATTTTTTATTCTTAAAGCAGGACTCAGGAGGTTTACGTAAGACTGGGCTTGACTCTTCTTTCCTCTCCCGTAAAACCCCAGAGGAGAAGTTAAGCCCCCCCCCTCTCCTAGAGTAGCTCACGTGATTCTTGAACGGCCCGATACCGCGTATTACATACATATGAGTCGCTTTTATAGCGCTCTTTGGCACTTTACGACGCCTAATCGCCACAAAGCTCGGTTTTCCCACAGGTCATCAGGGAGTTGACACTCCCTCATCTCACTCGACACCCCCTGTCGCCAACCTCTCACTGGGCGTCCCCTACGTCTACCGCGTATTACTACGTATAAATAAGACAGCATAAATGATCCTCAGAGGTGCAGAAAGATCTTAAATGATCATCAGGTGGTGTCGCATGATTGTGATTCGCTTATTTTGATACGTCTTCCAGGTAAAGTAACAAAAATGGAGCATATTACAACCCAGCAGCACTTATGGGATGGTGATAGAGGATCTTTCCGAATCTACGAAGATCATTATTGATATTTTATTTTTACGAGGAAATCAAACATTTCTTCTTATGTGAGACATATTTTGATAAATTGCAAGCGGCTAGTTTTTTTTTCTCGTTTTAAGAAACAATAATAGGAAGAACCCCTCTAGATGTTGCGATCAACTGAGGAGCTTTCAGAGTTAAGTCATTAGTGTTCTTTAAAAGTCTGTTCTTGCTTATGACGTTCGGCGGATGAAGTTGTTCAGGAACAGTAAAAGACGCACATTATCCGTGCATGGTTTTTGACCTTCGACGAAAATTCCGCCTATGACTCAACTGCATAAGGACCAACTTTCAGGAGAGATCTTGTTAATGCCAGCATAAAGTGCAGAAGTGAAACTTCCGGGTTAAATGTGCTGTCTTTTCTGTCATTAACCAGTTCTACATCACAGTTTATGACCCACGCGAGAGTGCCCTCCAAGGTGAAATTGTTTCACCTGTGCCAGCGAACAGAATTTTTAGGAAATTTGAGGTAATCGCACGGAAAACTTTTGTCTATGCAGTTGAAAGTTATGCAAATTAAACTTAAGTTCCGCATAATTTTAATTTCTGTTAAGTCCTAGAAGTCATTCATTTTTGTAGCTTTTTGGCCTTGTTTTCCCCGAAAAATAGCGTTGACGCAGCACAATTTTACAACCTATATAGCTGGATAAATATATGTATGCTCTTATCCCTTGTTCCTTTTTTTACATGTAATTATCTCCTCGTTTGTGGTCACACCAGTATGTCCTATTTATTATTAATTCCTGAACTAATTGTACTGTAAGACGTTTTTCCCTTGAATGTTGAATGGTACGTATAATAGAGTGCATTGAAGCCCTCGTGGAACAAAAAAATGGATAATGTGCGCCTTATTATATCTATCAGCCTGGTTTAATTCGTTAACTACGCATCGACTTTATACTATTGGCTGCAGATTTGGTATCAATGAAATAATTATAGAAACAATCACGTATGCGCTAATTCATTTCAAGAATAAAAAAATCGCAAATCTCGACTTTTTATCCAAGATTCTTCATAGTACGTTACTTAAATATTCAGTGAAAAATTGATCTCACGCAAAACAGTCAATGGAACTTTTTTCGATCTATGTTGCAGCTATCCCCGCGGATAACACCTCAGAGGACATAGATTTCAATGAGAGATTCTCGTGGTATGGCTCTCATGAGATGGGTCACAGCTACAGGGAGGCAATTCAGAGGGGGCTTCCTTTCCCCATTCTCACAGTAGCAGAGTACTTCAGTCTTGGGCAGGAGGGCTTCACTTGGGGAGGTCAATATAGAGCTGCAGGCTATTATAGCTCTATCCTGCTTTGGTAAGTCATATGTATCATACTTCTTTTCATGAACAAGGTCATTAATTATCATTAATATTCGGCAAGAAAGTGTCTTTTTAATACGTATAAATTGCTATGAATTCTTCAACAGACAAGTGAAATGGCCATAAGTGCGGCCTACATACCTTTTTTTAACTTCAGCTAGTTCCTCCTGTTTCCTATTGTGGTTAAAAATGGTTGCTAGATGGAAATTTATAGGAAAACAAATAATCTCCATATACCAGTACATTAAACTGACTGGAGAACTTTACACGTATCCTTAATACATAGACTCATACTCGTATTTAAATAGATCATCAGTTACTGAAAAGTAGAAAAATAAATATGTTTATACATTTATATATATTTCATTATTCTAGGGCTGCTTTTGCGAGCTGGCTACTCATGAATCTTCTCCTGATAGTGGTCCCGAGATATGGTGCTTACATGATGACTCTAACCGGGTCATTTTTGTTGGTGGCTGCTTTTGTGTATCGCTGCCTCCTTCCTGCCAACCCACTACAAGTCCGTTTTGAACAAAATAAAATACTTGCTTTCCGCTACGGATGGTGTTTTTGGCTAGTCATTATTGCTGGTTTGTACTCTTCAATTTCAATACGTTACGCACTGAGAAAAATCCACGGCTTATGAACCAATAAGTGGTCCATATGTCAATTTTTAACCCACTTTCCTCCTTGAGGGTAGTTTTAGTCAAGCACTGTCCACAAAAAACTGATTGCGATTCGACGCAAAAGTCGTTAAGACAGAAGTGATTTTGCACCAAACAACACAACTCTTTTGAGAGAAAATTTTGTGCTCTGATGAGTTTTTTCTCTCTATAAAATAAATATCTGTTTTATACTGAAATATAACGGAAGCTGGCAAAATTTCCGGAATTTTATTTTTCAGTGTAATCCATCTAAAGCAAATTTGGTTAAATTGTATATTTCCAAGCCACTATCATATCTTTGACTCGAGCATCGTTGGTAATCTCTGGAGTGATTAAGATGTGGCACCAAATTTCTTCTCCAAAATTTTACAGGAGATCACTTTCGAGGATCAAATACCAGCGGGCTGATTTTTGAAACTGGTAGACAAACCCATAGCAAATTAGACAAAAGTGGTATAGAGGGATCCTATTGTTGGAGGTGGGTGGATGCAATAGACAAAGGAGGTAGATAATAGATTAACTAACGACAACCCACGGGAGACCCCATAGTTAGTCTATTATTATCTCCCTTAGTCTATAGGAACCAATCATTTCAACCAAAAGGATCGCTTCATACTCTCTATGTCTTCTTTGTCTATCGCTTTGTCTATGAATTTTAACGATCAGCCCGCAGATTTGGAGGCCTATCTAAAATTTAGTTTCATTTTTGGAATATTTGTTCTCGATTTCAGGAAGCTTCTGCTCCATCATAGGACTGATCATCTCTATAGGTGACTGGTTGTTCCCGAACAGATTCTCAACGATTCTCGAGGTGGATTATGACACCCCTTACGATAGACATATCATCATCGAGGATAGCAACCACCGAAAGAAGGGAGGAAAGGCTGGACTGGAAGAAGCCCCTGGTCTTGGCAGACGAATTTTAAGGTAAAATACAGTTTAAAGACGAGAGAATCCTTTAGGTAAGATTCTGAAATCTCAGTTTTTTCCTTGATTAAATCCCGAATTTCGTATCTCCTTTCTGGAGCGGTGTCTAAGACGTGCTATCATGCCAGTAAAATATTCGTCAAAAAAGTTCATCGATGGTTTGTATTTTGTATATGTTGATTTCGGTATCCTATGAAACAATTAAAGCCATTATACTTTCCTTCTCTAGGAATAGGAAATGGCATTAAAAGTTCAAAGTCCACATTTAATCGAAAAAAACCAAATTAAATTGGTAATTTCGATTTTTTCTCAGCCAATAAAAGATATTGAAGGTTTTAAAGTAATTTTTTAGTATTTTTGAAAAACTTTTTCAGAATTTTGTTTAAATAATTCTGAAACGTATATCATCATAATACTTGAATTTTTTTTGTTATACTTTTGAAGTTTTTTTAATAAAAATATGTCTCTCAAAACATCCAAAAGTATCATCAATTCTTATTTTTAAAAACCGAACATAAAAAATGCATTTTTTTAACATTTAAGAAGGTTTCGCAGAATTAGAAATTCCCAAGTTATTCCCCCAAAATTGAACAAATATGTTCTTTACATATTTCCCAATAATGTTTTCTTAAAGATTATAATGAAACTTTTTAAAGCAAAGTTGTTTTTCGGTTGGCTATTAAGAGGATCTCTCTTCAAAACTCTCAATGCAGATAATGTGGATGGTTAGCTTCAATGGAGGGTAGATTCGATCGATATGAATTGATCGCAAAATAAAAACGTGAATCGATCCACTGGTTTATCGGTCAATTCATGGAGTTTTCGATCGATTTACGGAGTTCTCGATCGACTCACGGAGTTGTCGATCGATTCCTAGGCTTGTTGGTCAATTCACGGATTTTTCGATCGATTTACGAAGTTTTTGATCGATTCTCGGTTGTCGATCGAATCGTTAACGACCGAATCACATCGATCGGTTCACGTTTTTATTTTTCGATGGATTCATGTCGTTCGAATCCACACCCTCCCGCTTCAACGCTTTACATCATTTGTATTCCTCTAAATCCTACTAAGAGCGTGGTTTCCGTTTTTTTCAGACGGTTGTCGTCGAAAAAGGACGACGAATCGGAGCAGAGCAACTTGAAACGAGGACTCGACAATCGGGGTTTCGAGATGGACCCGCCGAAGTCCCCGTGGAGGTATCCTTTCAACAGGCCGGCAATAACGGGCACAGCCTTCAAAAGGAGCATCTCTCAAGACTCCAACTCTAGCATATCCAGTGTAGCAGTTCCTCATGTCACATTTGCCAGGAGGTCCGACGCTCAGCATCCTCCGGTCCAGAGGACTGACCCACCTCCTTCCTCATCGTTACCAGGGTAATATTTCCTAAGATGCTCTTCCGACAAGTCGGCAACATCAGTGGCGTGGCGTGAATTGCAATGTATAGATTATTATGTCATTTAAAACTATGGTAAAGAATCGATTATTAAGGTGTTCGCTGCGAACACCCTGTTTATCGATTCTTTTCCATAGGTTTAAATATGGCAGATCAATCGATGTATCGCAACACACGCCACGCCTGTGGGCAACATGGTATAGACACTCCATTTAAATCCATGGAATATATCGAATCTATCTCGGAAAACCTGCTTCATGGATTGTATAAAATACATTTAAATGGAGCAAAAACAGCGTTGCCGACTTGCAAGAATCGTCACTTTAAGAGCCTTAGACGTTGAAATTTTTTTAATATATGTAACATGGGTTTTCCGGAAAATGTATAAGACATTTTTTTGAATTTTTCAGAGTTTTTTATGCGGGATCAGATTTATATTATCTGAAAATATCAAGAGAAAATATTCTTGACATTCGTCAATAATCCTTTTCTGCTGACCCTTTTATCATACATGCTCATGAGCTTCCTTGCCCCTTCAAAATGGAGGAATACTTCTACCGATACGTTAAACTCGAATCATGTGTTTACTTTTCAACCAGCAATATATTTTCAAAATATTGCTAAGATTCACAGGTTGCTATTGTTGACGCGGTTATTGCGAGAATGATTTCCTCTTTTTTGAAAAGAAAACCGTACAGCAAAACGATATGTAATATTACAAATATATTTTCTAACAATTTGTAAAAATTTCCGATAGAATTTAAAAATTATTTTAATTGAATGTTTGAACTGATCACTCTTATATCAGAAAACGATTTCAATATAGTAAACAATATTTTGAACAAAATTATTTCAACAATTTTAAACATTGTTAAAAAGGTTGTTGAATTCAGCATGAATTCAGCCTCATTCTAATTTCAGAAAATTGTTGGTTTCACTGGGTACCCATGCCTGATTCAGGAACTGTTATGAAGATATCAAAAAAAGTGCAATTTTCTGTTATCCTATACTTTTGTTCTAAAAGAACCAGAAATTATGGTTGGTATGTTAGCAAACTTTCTTGATCGGTGGAGAGAGGTTAGAGCCACATACCAACATCCGTCGCATTCAATTCAACTATTTTATGACCACTCTTTAACAGCACTCATGATCTCTTCATAATAATTGATCAGTGATACTATTTCCTTTACTGTGTTACAGGCGAAGTAGTCTTCGAAGTAAACCGGTGCAAGAAACTGCCATGTGGTGAAAACCAGATCCAGATTGAATACTACGCATTTTGTAATACATCAAGCAATATTCGGTTCAGGAAAAAAATGCGGTTGCAGTTTTCGGGTCATCGACATACTCGTATTGATTTAGAACCAGGCGAAACTGATTGTGATTTCATTTTACTTTTGTATATTATGATGTAAAATGCGACTGAGGTATTCTGGCTCATGTCAGTTGGCAGAAATCAATTTCCAGGTGAAGCTATTGAATCATGACTGATCTGAAGCTAAAATGAAAGGAAACAGAGAGGAGCTGTAGGAAAAGAGGAGAGAAAAAAAAACATCTTCCTCACGCGCTGAGTTTTTTTCTTACAAATTTGTATCATTCCCATTCACTATAATATTTTGGTTTACAAAACGTCCAGACGCCTTTAACTCCGTTAAATGCCACATCTTGAACCCAGAGTACCCCAGTGGAGCCCAAAATCAAATTTTTTTGTAATATTTTATTTTATTCCATGATGGAATCGTTTTTTCGTTAATCAATGTATTTATGTGATTGACTGAAACTTACTGATTGACTAATGTATAGTTGTATATATACATCAGTTTAAATATGTACAGTGGTACATCACAACGCCTTTAACGAGAGAAGAACATTTCTATACAAATAATTAAAACATTTTACGTCGCGAGCTGCTCCTGTAAAAAGATTTATACTTTGATCGCACCATGAGATTAACTTCTGAAACCCTGTTCATCGCTAAGGATCCATTTTTTGCAGCTACTTATTCTCATACTGCCAAGAATCTCGACGTGAAATTTGATGACATTTCACTCGAAAGTCTTTTTTACTCCCGGAAAACCGGAGTTAAATGGAGTATCAATAGCACTCTGAATTTCACCTCAAGATTTTCAACAGTGTTAATGCCTAAAACCAACGAAGAAAATTTTGTAACAAATATTATTTCAAGACACTATTTTCAGTAGTTTACTCTTATCTTTTTACCCCAATTCTCACGATGAAAATTGAGTTTATACAGACACAAAATGGAAAGCCCTTTTTTGTATATGAAATGTTTTTCTGAGCCTGAATTGTAGAATTAAGTATTTTTCCTTGTACAGTATTATTTTTTATAATAACGAGAGTTGTCCTTGTAAACAATAAGTCAGTGCCCTAGGTCTATGCATTTTCCATTTTTACTTTATTATTTTTCTTGGTGTAATATTTTCGTAGATACGTGAGTGAAACACCTTTATTTATTTAATTTATTTAATTGATTAATTAATTAGGAAGAAAAAGTAATCTGTGATTTATTTACGGTACGCGGCCATTTTACGTAGTGATAAAGTTACCTCCATTTTCTCTCCGTCAAACTAGAAGAATGATAACAGTCAAACTCATCAAGCTGATCAAGGTCTCCCTTTTTCCACATTTCTGGCCCAATATTTACCTATGCGGATTTCCTTTAGTCATTCATATAGTCTTCTCAGTGCGAAATTCGATCTAGAGTCCCTTTATACCCAGAGTTAAGACAACTCGATTATCAGCTGACTGGCAGCCGGCCTTGGCTGGCCATGGAGGCCGAAACGAGTGCACCCAAACGAACGATATTGAGGGATAAGGATCAGGAATCCTGCGATGTCTGTCACACAAAAACAACAACATCAACAAATTGATCAATTAAAAAGAAAATGAGATTGGTTTGAGAATAATTTCTTTATCTATTTTCATTTTGGACCGATGGAAATGACAATTTACTCTTGATAAACCACAATTAGGTAATATTTGCATTATTCTTGTTCACATTCGAGGTACCGCCATCTTGGTGCACTCGTTTCGGCCTTCATGAGCGAGAACCAATCAGAATTGGATTTTTTTTTAGGCCACTTTCAGCCCAACCAAAAGTGAGTTGTCTTAACTCTGGGTATAAAGGGACTCTAATTCGATCTGGTTGCGCATCGACTGCGAAACAATCCCCTCTGATTTTCATAACTAATCAATCACAAGTCACGCGACTGATTCACGTTTTTCTCTTAACTCGTGTCATTAATTTCATTCCACAATAAAAAAATGAAAAAAGCAGGTTTCTTCTTTTTCTTCAAAGAAAAACAAATTAAAATGAGCCTTGTATGAAATGACTAGAGATGAAACTTTGATTATATAAGGTTTTATATGCGGAAAACCTAAATTTGAAATAGAATCCTGCCCACAGTGTTTAGCCATGATTGTGTTATTCTTATTGTTTTATAATTTACCTTACCGCATGCCTTTTTTCTATTTTGTTTATTTATGTTTTTTAAAAGAAAAGATGAATGTCTCTTAAGAGTTACAAGAATATGTTTTTTAATCTTCGAATTTGAAGTTTAGAAGAAATATCTTTCCTCAATTCAATTATAATAATTCATAAGCTCGTAACTGACAGATGATCTACTTCCAGTAGGTAATTAGGAAAATAAGCCATAGCTAATGTTTTTACGAATCGGTATATCATAATTGCGGCTATTTCCTCTCCACAATGTGATTTTTGTAAAATTAAATGTTCTTTAGAATTTATTTGTTGTCCTTTTAATTTTACCCTCCAATAATTCCTCTTTTCCGATAAAGGCACCTTCAAACTTACTATCATTTTTCACAACAAGTCACCTCTAGAAAAGAAGATATCGGAGACTAAAGTGCGGAATCACGTATCCCCGTTCGCGACGTCGCAGACTCCCTTTCATTCTTCATTTTTTCTGGTCAGCGCATCATCTTAAAAATTGCCATGATTTTTCCTTTCGGTTTGCAGAATATTCTGTACCAATTTCAAGCCATAAACTTGACTTACTTTTTTTCGAAAAAATTAAACGGGAGCTAAAATTTTGAAACGCTGCAATGTAGATACGTGATTTCGCAGATAAAAACGGAAGAGCAAGAAAGGGAAGGAGAAGTGTTAGAGGAGTAAATGGAAGAAAGAGTAGAACAAAAAGAGAATGGAGAAGAAGAAGCACCGATGTGCGTAGGAACATTAAAGACACTTAAGTTGTTTCTAAATTGAGCTTAAGCGCCCAACTTTCATCTTCTCGGAAGCCACGCCTCGGCCGACGAGAAGAAAGGAAATTGGGGTTTGAGGTGGGGCGGGACAGAGTAACCATTAGAATAAGAATAGGCAGAAGATAGAAACAGAAGAGCAAGAAAAGGAGGGAGAAGGGTTAGAAGTGTAAGGTAAAGAAGGAGTCGAGGAAGAGGTTGAGGGGGAAGAAGGGGAAGAAGAAGAAGCATCTCTGTGCGTAGAACATTGAAAGCACTTAAGTTGTTTCTAAATTGAGCTGAGCCACCCAGCTTTCATCTCTTGGGTAGCCACGTTTCTGCGGACGAGAGGAAAGGAAAATGGGGTTTGAGGTGGGGCGGGATGGAGGAATCATTAGAATAAGAATAGGCAGAAAATAGAAATAGAGGAGAAAGAAAAAGGAGGAGAAGGGTTAGAAGAGCGAGGTGATGGAGGAGTAGATGATGAAGAAGAGGAGGAGGAGGAAGAGGAAAAGGAAGAAGAAGAAGAAGTAGAGGAAGGAGAGGAAGCTGAAGCACCTCTGTGCGTAGGAACATTAAAAGCACTTAAGTTGTTTCTAAATTGAGTTTTACCACGCAACTTTCATCTCTTGGGAAGCCACGTCTCGGCGGATGAGAGGAAAGGAAAATGGTGTTTGAGGTGTCGCGGGACGGAGCAAGCTTGGCACTGGATCCGGCTCTGGACGTAGTGCTCGCGCTCCTTGAAGAAGACGTCGCCGTCAGTCTTGCGGAGGCACCGCGGGTTCGGGGCCGTGAGGTCGGGCTCGGCCTCGCTGGAGCTGGAGAGGGACGTCCCCAGGTCCGAGACGACGTCCAGCCGCTGGAACCCCCGCCGCACCCCCGCCCCCGCGCAAGGCCGCCCGCGCCCCAAGGGACGCACCTCCTGCGGGGACACCATCCCGTGGAGCGGGATCCCGCCGAATTTCCGCGGGTTCGGGTCCAAGCTCGGCTTCACTTTGTACGTCGAGTACCCTCGTGGCAAAGGGATTTTCCTCTCCATAGCACCTGCAAAAGAAATCCCAATTAGCATTATAGGGCATTTTTTGTTGTCACGTACATAACATTTTGACTCATTGGACTGAGTTCATCGAAGAGGAACCAACCCACATTAAATTGAAACTGAGAAAAAAAAGATCTCACGTTTTATTTCTGCATAAGGCTCAATGTAGAAAATAACATCTAACCCCTCTCTCAAGTCTTCTCAAACTACAAATGTTTTTTGATCGACGTTTAGTTTTTGGCAGGAAAAAAAATGTTAAGAAAACTCAAAAAAGCATTCTTAAGAATCTCGACCCAATTTTTTCGAAAATGTGGTTTGGTTCCTTTCTGATAAACTCGGTCCCATTAAAGTGCCGTGAAGGGTTAATTGGACGCATTTTTGCTAAATAGAAGTAGAGACGAGTGGAAAAGATGGGGCGTGCTCCAGAGAGCTGCATAAGAAACAATTTAAAAGTGGGCGTGATTTCCATCGGGAAATGGAAAAGCGCGGTTTCACATTCAATAAAACGGAACTAAGCGCCAAAATATGCGGCATTCATGAGCCTTGGGCATGGCAAAAGAGTGGCGTAGGCAAGGCTCATGAGTTAAAGACCGTGTTGCCGGTCGTCGTCGCTCCCGTCGACGCCGCTGACGTCACTGGCTCTTTATAGTACCCATTCATTCTTACGGTATGAGAAATGGACGTATTTCCGTCAAACAGAACTAAGCGCCAATTTGAGTTCCTTCTGAGGAATTTAGAATACCGGATAGCGCGTTCTGTCAAACGGAACTAAGCGCCATGGAAAAGCATTGCGAGTATAGGACGGAATGAGCCCGACGCCCGGTTCCGCCACCAATCCAAGACCCCCCTTTACCCTCTTCCCTCTATTGCGCTTAGTTCCGTTTGATATAGGAATACGTCATAATAAGGAGCACACCCCTTCTGTCTCGTCTGTCTCTGCTCCATTTAGGAGAATACTTCCATCCAATACTGAGATACTGAAATACTACTACTGAATCCGATTTTTCGGAGTGAAAAATGTAAAAATTTTCGTAGACCCATGCGAGGAGGATCTCCTCCTTCCCCTCAAAGCTTCATTAAAATGAGGTAAACCTCGGAAAGATCCACTTCAAAAGATAGAACGTCACGGACATTACACACTTTGAATATGTGCTTTAAGAAACTATTTTAAAATTCAATCTTCTCAGCAAATTGTGATTCTATTACAATTGTGTGTTTATTTATAGGTTTACTATAAAGCGGAAATGGTGTAACTGGTGTCCATTAAAATATTTTTATGACAATCTAAAAGTTATTTCTGTTTAACTATCAGTGCACCAAGCACAGATTTAGTATCTCCGTAGACAATTCATGAAACAAGCCTTCGGTAGCTTTTCTACTTTTACATACTCATTAGTCTCATTCGAAGAGTGAAAAAAACACATTTTCCTGTCCACAAGATTTTTACATTTTTCGGCCTTTTTTCAAATGACCCATGGTAATGACTCGTACATATTACACGCCGTTACTTATCGACCGAGCAACTAAACTAACTTCGGATATGAGCGTGCTGTATCAAGCGAAATTGAAGGCACTCCGAACTACGACTTAAAATGATCACAGATTCTTTAGGCGCTTTTCCAGCTCGAGACATGCATGGTAATCCTCTCCACAAACAGGTGGTCTAGTTTCAACATGCCCATTATCTCCAGGAAGACCAATCCACACATTCGATCTATTCACGGGGTTGCCGATCAATTCACGGATTTGTTGATCGTTTCACAGGGATTCTATCGACTCACGGGGTTTGTCGATCGATTTACAGATTTTTTCGATCCATTAACGACTGCCCTGGTAAAAATTGGCAGTAGAATCTGTGTTCCAAAATACCATAGACATACAGCTGGCTGTAAGATTTCCAATAGCTTCTACAGCCGGCAACAAAATTTCTTATAGCCTTTTATAGCCGATGGTGACTAAGCAACAGCCTAGCGATTAATTGTATGCTAAACGTTACTAATTACGGATGCTAGGACTTAGTGAGTTTTCGGACTACCTCTCTTTTTTTGGACCGTAGTCTCTTGATTTATTTTGGGAGGAAAGCTCCTAACTTTTTGAAGGATGCCTGCCATTGATAATATGTTGGAGCGCCTTCAATTTCGTATGATACTGTGCAATACCTCTGGTGTGGAATAGTTGCTTCAAGCGCCGTGGTACGCTGCGGCGCGGAGCGGCGGACAGGCAGCCAGCGAGAGGCGCGCATTGGCGCCTACAAACCTAACAGGGATAACCTTCACGCATTGCGCAATGCGTGAAGTATCCCTGTTAGGTTTGTAGGCACAAATGCGCCGCCGCTCCGCTTTGTGTTAGGCTCTAATATTTAATCTCGTGGAGTCAGCGTTTTTCAACTCATGACTTTGAAATGTTTGCACACTCTGTATGGTTTATTCTCATTTCAATTGATGAAAAAAAAAAAAATATGTAGTAAAGGAAAATATAAAGTGCGTTTTGTAAATGAATCGGCTCGTGCGAAAACCGCTAATGTCCATTTTTTTCAATTTTGAGATTTTTGGGTTAAAACACTCTCTGAGGTCAGACACACTCAGTAATGTAGTGAAAATGTTTGTTCCTTAGGTCTGAACCCCCTTTCAGGGGGGGGGGGGCGTGGTCCGAATCATGCGAAAACCGCTAATGTCCATCTTTCGTTATCTGCCTCATTATACTGTACAACAAACCAAAATAAAATAAATGTCTCCTGGACGACTTTAAGTGATCTTCATGCATTTTAAGGCGCTGAATCCGAATATGACCTCCGTTTTTTCCATCACCCTCCAGTTTTCCGGAAAAGCCGATTTTACCCTGAAAAATGACCATTTTTGGGCATTTTCGGTGTTTTTCCGACTGTTATCTCCTGCAGAATGTAGGTAAAATTTTTCGTAGCTCCGAGATTCAATTGTGCCGATGTCTTTTTAACTCATGAGTCCGGAAATGACCTTAATTTTTCCCGTTCACCTCTCAGTTTTCCTGGAAAGCAACTTTTTCCCGGGAAAATGAGCAAATCCGACGTATATTTGTCGTGCATGCAATTTATTTTTATAAATTTTCCTGGACCCGTGGTAGTATGAAATATTCCGAGATCCTCTTTAGGTCTCTCTTGCTGTATTAAGAGGCACTGAACTCGAATTTGACCTTCACTCATCTTTGAGAANCCCCCCCCCCCCCCGTTTTCTAGAAGGTCCGATTTTTCCGGGTCAAAAGCCTTTCCGGACTGTTTCCACTTCCGGGGAAAGTCGAAACATTTTCCGCATGTGTGATACATCGATTCTCATGTAATTTAAGCTGATAACCCCGAATATGACCTTAGAAATTCGTTATCACCCATAGGAGATTTTCTGAAATTCCTTAGAGCAGAAAAATCATGATTTCGCATGATTCGGACCACGGCCCCCCTGAAAAGAGCTTCAGACCTAAGGAACAAACATTTTCACTACATTAATGAGTGTGTCTGACCTCCGAGAGTGTTTTAACCCAAAAATCTCAAAATTGAAAAAATGGACATTAGCGGTTTTCGCACGAGCCGATTCATTTACAAAACGTACTTTATATTTTCCTTTACTACATATTTTTTTTCATCAATTGAAATGAGAATAAACCATACAGAGTGTGCAAACATTTCAAAGTCATGAGTTGAAAAACGCCGACTCCACGAGATTAAATATTAGAGCCTAACACAAAGCGGAGCGGCGGCGCATTGGCGCCTACAAACCTAACAGGGATACTTCACGCATTGCGCAATGCGTGAAGTATTCCTGTTAGGTTTGTAGGCGCCAATGCGCGTCTCGCGCTGGCTGCCCGCCCGCCGCGCCGCGCCGCGCCGCAGCGTACCACGGCGCTTGAAGCAACTATTTCACACCAGAGGTATTGCACAGTATCATACGAAATTGAAGGCGCTCCAACATATTAAGCAACAGCCAGGCGATAAAGTGTAAAGCCCGGCGATAGGAACTATAGCCCGACTGTATAATTTTTTATCGCCTCGTGTAGCCCGGGCGTATGATTTTTTCCACTTTCTACAGGCAGCTATATGATTTTCTATCGCCTTCTTCAGTCGGCTATAAGAACTATATATAAAGTCGCTTTACAACGCACTCTGGCGTTCTACGACACCCAAACGCCACATATGTATGCCTGTCTTACCAGAGGTTATCGGGCAACTGACACCGCAACATCTCTTCGTCAACGCCCTGCCGCCAACCCTTTACGGGACGTCCCCGTCGCCTCTTCCCAGGTGGTACCCAATCCAAAACTTGTTTGGGCAACCTCTCTTCCGACATTCTTTGCACATGTCCATACCAGCATAACTGCCTGGATATGACGTCGTGCACGATATCTTTCTCAACCTTCATCACCTGGCGAATTCTCTCATTACGGACACGGTCCCGTCTCGAAATGCCGACAGATCGCCGCCAAAAATCCATTTCAGTTGCCCTCAATATTTCTTGCGTTCTTTTCGTCAAAAGCCACACTTCACTACCATAGAGCACGATACTTTTAACGATGGCGTCATATATCTGGTGCTTGATTGCCTTTGAGATGCTCTGATCCCAGAGCACCCCGTTCAGCATCCTATGAGAACTCCTATGGTATTTTGAAACGCAGCTCCTATCGCCAATTTTCACCAGGGTGTCGCGCCAATCGGTCTGCCACGTTTTCATTTTCCGATTAATTCATGTGAATCGAAATGACACTGGTTTGTCTATAACTTGTCGTTGGAATAATCGAATCCATGTCCTCCATAACTCAATTGCGGGCTGATTTTAGAAATTGATCGACAAAGCAATAGTCAAAGAACACAAAAGGAGTAACTCGTGTGTTGCCGTTAGTCTACTACCTACTTCCTATATCCATTGCAACCAACCACTTACACCAATAGAATCCCTTAATAACCTTTTTGTCTTCTTTGTCTATCGCTTTGTATACCAAATTCAATCAGCCTACTGTGTGTGGATTGGTCTTATGCCGTGCTAAGGAAGAACGTCGTATGAACATTCGAGAGTTTCAAAATTTCCTTCGATAAAATGTTTATTTTTGCGGGAGGTTCTGAATATTTGTCCTTGAAATTTTCAGGCACTTCAGGTGAAATTGCGAACAAAATATACATACGTTTACCAGGAAATTCATGTTTATCAAAGGAAATTTGGCAACGCATGACGGTTCATACGGCGTTTTTCCTTAGCATGGCAGTCTTGCTCTCCAAAATCCAGGCACTCTAGTCCTTACCTCTAACGGGAGGCCTCGAAGCCGGCATGAAGGTGCACATGAAAACAGGGACGACAGCAAGAGCGTGGAGCGCTGCGATGACTCCGGCCACAGCGTTGAGCTCCAAGCTAAAAGGCCCTTTGGCATATCCCCGAGTGGCGAGTGCAAGGGACACAGCACCAACGAAGACACTCCCCGCAGTCTGGATCATCGGGAGCGTGTGCGAGTGGTAACATTCCCGAAGCCGCTCCATCGTGGACCCGGAGGCGCGGATGTAGGCGTAGCTCATCCTAGCACTGAACTTGACGGCCACCCCGACGCTGAGACTCAGGTTGAGGGCGGCGCTAGAGCTCGGCATCCCGAAGCAGAAGACGCTCCAAGCCAGGATCCCGAGACCGGTGGACAGCCCGCAGAGTGCGACCAGAGTCGTGTTCAGGGTGCTGAGAGTCAGCGGGTAGGTCACTGCGATCGTGGTCAGGGCCCAGCTCAAGCTGGCGTCTTTCGTCAAGGACTCCATCGTGTGCGGCTGCAAAAGAACCAAACTGAATCGGTGAGAACGAAAACTCGGTAACTCGAAAATCCTCAATTTTCATGAATGACAGTTAATGGGGATGTTGCATGTGTGAGGAATTTGCGATTGGACTGTTGATTCTTATGTAAAAGTTCGCGAAAAACACGATGGTGCCACTGGTTTTATATGAAATCAACTCCCGAGCTCAAAAAGAGCTCTCAAGTTGAGCCCAAAATGGAGGGGATATCCCACGCTATCCTGAGAGTCCACCTCTATATCAAGACAAACTCTCCATGCAAAGATACACTGGTAAAAAATACCTCTTGGTTCAAGAGTGCAGTTTCTTGTCGCCGGATTTAAGAGTCTGGACTCTTGTTTCAATGCAAAATCCGCTTGAATCAATGTAAAATCCGCTTGAAACAAGAGTTCAAGACTCTTAAATCCGGCGACAAGAAACTGCACTCTTAAGTCAATAATGCACCGCAGCATTGGTCCGAGAGATTTTTTTTACCAGTGTAGAAAGCAAATACATTGAAGGGGCTGCCACTTTATTTGGGAACTCCAAAACTGAAAACACGGCAACCCTGCTAATGTATTTGCTCCCTATCTTTGCATGGAGAGTTTGTTTTGATGTAGAGGTGGACTCTCAGAATAGCGTGGGATATTCCCTCCATTTTGGCCTCAACTTGAGAGCTTTTTTTCAGCTTGGGAGTTGATTTCACAGAAAAACAGTGGCACCATCGTGTTTCTCGCGAACTTTTACGTAAGAATCAACAGTCAAATCGTAAATTCCTCTTACAACATCTCAATTTTCATAGGAGCCATTGAAGTTAGCGCATCTGTTCAAACTCGGACCTTTAAAGTGTCCCTAAGTACTTGTCTTTCGGCACCAAACATATTTTACTTACACTAACTTCTTCACTTACTGAGCAGTTTTGTGTGTGTCTTGATTATTTTAATTTTTTTGAGCTGGTGTGTTTCCGTTCTCACTGATTCAACTGCCATGAGAGTCAAGGGGGCGGGCGCGCAGGGGATCGAGTCAGTTGGAGAGGTCGGACAAAATTAGGAAACCTCGAAAGCTCATAACTGTGTTTATGCAAAATTTTGAGGTTCAAGAAGTGGCTCTATCGGTTTCCTCTTAAAATTTCCTTCTCGAAGCACTCCTTCAAATTTGTAATTTGACGAAATAAACATCAAAATTTGCAGTTTTAGTCAAAAATTTCATGTACGACCTCTCTGCTTGACTTGATCCACTGTCGGCCGTAAGAGCAAAATTGAATTTTTGGGAAAAGCGCACGGAAAAAGAGAGACAAGGGTTCTCGGGTGATATGGACAACTCCAGTTAATAGGTCAGTCAACCTTTCGTTTTTTATTCAATATTCTGAAAGTACAAAGTGCGTAGATTACGCGGTGATTTATTGCGTATTTTTTGGAGCTAAAATCCTGGAGTTTGCTTTTAAAAAGTCCAAAGACTCGAAGGAATCTCAAACGCGCTGGGATGGCGGAAAAATGATGGAAGTGATGTACTTCGCTATCTCCTTCGACTATCATCTCTGGGGAATTATGGTGTCGGTGCCTATAAGCTTTAGATACAGCCCTACAAATACATCCTGAAAAAAGGATCAGACATTTTAAGTAATAAGAAAAAAATTAAGTGTCAACATAGGCGAAGATAGGAGAGCCGTATTTGGCCCCGTTGTTAACTTTTTTTCTAAGTCTGAGCGACACCTCATTGATCGCGGGCTCACGCCTCGCGCCTTCAGTTTTATGAATGCAACACAGACACCCATCAAGCACGAATAGTTGTATCTCTGCGCCGTCATCAAGCGCTTACTTTCCCTTACTCTACTTCCATATTGTGTTTGTTCCAGTATGTCTTATTTGTAGTAGTGCTTAAAGGTCTATGTAAGCAACACAGCCGAAGATAGGAGATGTGTAATCGGGCCTCGTTTTTTTATCTTTTTCCCCGAATCTGAGCGAAACCTCATTGGCTACTATTCGCGCTCTCTGGTATGTTTGATGCCTATTCGGCAATTGAAGGCAAACTTCAAGTGGACGATATCTGCCAATGGTTTCGTATTGATGAAAAAGGTATTAAAACTTTCTTTGAAAGTAAGAACAGAGCATTAAACGTTGCTCTAAGTAATATAGATCTCTCTCGACATAATATTGTATATGCTGCATTTAATTATGTGAGACTCTCAAAAGCTGCAAAGAAATCCATGAATCAGATTCATACAGTGACTCAGCAGAGATGATTCTTTATTTGAGTTGGATTCACATCTTGATCTCCGTACCTAGTCATCCAGTTTTAAGTAGCTTTATCAGACAGTTTTGTTAGAAGTTTTTCCCAGAATCCACTTCGAGTTTTTCCTCACTATTGCAAGGAAGTAAGTAGACTGTGAATGAATTAAACGGATACAATGCAAAACAAAATTGATACCAAAGCAAATAAATGTACGTGTAAGCGTGTTTGGTAGATGATTTTACTTTGTCCCCAACATGTTTTTTCGATTGGAGTAAAATTTAATGGAATGAACGATAATCAAGACAAGTAGTTTTTCTTAAACGTAATATGTTATTTATTACTTGTTTGAGCAATGGATTTAATTACATTTTATATGTATATATATTACACAAATCGATCGAATTTACCTAATTTTACAAAAAATACAACTTATGCTAATATGTACAATGTACGATCATACATTTATACGACTTGTTTACAATCGGAAATGCCTCGAATAGACATGATCTCACTATATAAGTAGGTAGATGCAAACTTATATTAATGGTATAAAAATTGGAGAGCTAAGGCACGTCAATGTATAATAATACCTACTTATCCCTAATCTAATCCAGCTGTATTTGAGAAAATTCTACATATACAGCATTATGGTTGCTTACTTGACAGTTCACAGGGGTTGTACGTTGGAGCACACATCAAGCAAGCTCTAAAAACTTTTAATTTAAGTCCTGATGACACTTCACAAAGTTTATTCGTGAAGTAAAAGATAATTTTCCGTCATTCAAAAACTTTTGATTTTCGGTTTTAGAGGGAACCATATATCACAGAAGCTGTAAATGCGCGAGTTTAGAGCATGAAGAAACCCATATGCTCTGAATAGAGTGGATCACAAGCTCCAGAAACTAAATGCTGAAGTATTCCCACTTACATTGTAGAATGTTCGTCCAGTCTAGAACTAAAATATGATATTTAAGCTCGAAAAAATTTTCCATCCAGCCTCAAGTTTCGCTTTCTGCGGGTAGATTAAGATCTTTTTCATCAAAGGTCTGTCCTGGAGAAATATTTTGGACGAGAATACATTTCAGCCAAATCTTGAGGAGGTAAAATATATTACAAGAGGAGTAACATTTGCCTGAAGACAAACTAGGTAAGAGTAAAAAAGTAAGGAGAGAAGGGGATACTTGCCCTCTCAAAATAGCGCCCCTAATTTCTGGCCCGATGGCGCGGCGCTTGAATTTGAGAGAGAAATTCATTTTTTGTTCAATCATTTTCAATTATGCCAGTTGAATATAGTTTCACAACTGCAACAAAAATGCATTTTTTTCTTGGTATGCGATACTAATATAATTGTAGATCTAAGAGGCTGGGATTCTCTCGTTGGAAGTCATTTTGTGTGGTTTTCTTCAGTATTCTGAAGTGCATCCGATTTCTAAAATGAAACAAGTTTAGTTCCAAGTCCAATGAAGACGGGAATTTATGAATCAAGCTTAGCATCGCATGACCAACAAATGCGAAAGCTGTAGCTGGCTACAAATACTTACAAATCGATCATGTTAAAGTACAACTAAGGAAATAAATTAATATAAATTATTCAATTATCTATATGATCACACATGTTTTCGAAACTTTCACGAAAACAATTATTAAAGGTCTCAAATGTGCTTTCAATTTTTTGGTTGAAATACGATCGAAAGAACAAAAAGCATATAATCACGTAACAAATTCATGGAGGGAAAAATCACAATTGCAACAGAGAAGTCGACTCCGTTGCAACTACCGTTCAGCCGAAGAATTTAATTTTAATATCGAATATGTTCTAATTGAAAGACGAAAATTCGAGAGCTGTTTCTGGTGTAAATATGCATCCTTTTGTTTTTATTGATTTCCTAAGCATACACACCCACTATAATTTTTCTTAAATTTGTATTAAATGTTAGAGAAATATATTTAATCGGTCACTGAAAAATTACACAATATTACTTGGAATAATTAGAATTGCAGGAAACTTGCAACCCAACAAAATGTTTTTAAAAGTGTTTCTTGAATGCTAGATGTTATTCCGATCGCGACACAACGTGACAAAAAAAAACCAAAATTTTTTGCACTAATTTATCTCATGAATTATATAGGCACCACTTGTGTACAGGTGCTCAAACAGAGATGTCGAATCAACCATGTTCACCTCATCTTTGGTTTGTGCAATCATGTACAAAAAGTCTAGAAATCCACAGTAAAAATACGCCATTTTTACGTATACGTTTTTAACAACACACACAATTTTATAATCTTCAAAGGAAAATATGTATGAATAAATAAAAAAAAAAGTAAAAAAACCAAAAAAAACGGAATGATAGCTTTGGGTTATGCGAGTACGGCCGTTGTCATAGCACGGTTACTTTCAAACTTTCTGATTTTCTTTAGTTACAGTCACCACACATACTGATTTTTTATCACTTAAAATAAGTGTGAAGGATGAGTCAACGTCTTTAAAAATCACAAAAGAAATCATTCACTTTTCCATAATGGAGGCAAGTTTGAATCAATATATAGGATCATTATTTCCTAATGAGTCATAATTTCTGAGTGGCTGACAAGAAACTTTCAATGTGATTTTTAAAACAATAAAATGAATTTTATTCCGGGGCGATAATGTACAGAAGATTCCTGAAGATGACAAGGGGGAAAAGGGTTTTAATTTTATTTTGGAAAACAAATATATGAAATAATTATGTCCTGTAGGGCAATTGTGGTAAAAACTGCAAGTTATATATTCATTGAAACCGGAGAGGGAAAGTTTAAATTTCAAATAGACATGCGCTACAGGACTTTGAATGATGAGCGAGTTTAAATAAGACTTATCATTAAAGGCGGCAGTGAAGCTCTTTTTTCTATAAAAATAATTAAGACCTCATGTGACACAGATGGAATTTACTTTACAGTAATATTCTTTTGATATCAATCGGGTAGTATAATTAAAAAAACAAATAATGTAGTAAAGGTACTCTTTTTGAAGGTAGCTCGCGCTTAATGTTCTATTTTTTTACTTATCCTTTAATTAAGAAGAGGGCTTTACCGCGTATTAACTAAAATACCTAAATTTGCAAGTAAAAGAAGACAGAATATAATTTAAATGTACACTCATTATTAGAAACGTCACCAATATGCTTGATTATTCTTAATAGAAAAATTGGAGCCTTGGATACAACAAATTAAATAAAAGGCATTTGCTCCGGGGTAAGTGTTAGATGTAGGAAATATTTAAATGCAGGCAAAATGCGCAAAGATCACTATACATTGTGCACCGCTCAAACGAACATTTTCACACCGATATGAGCACTGAGATCAAAAGTGATTTTGCGCAAAGAATCTGCACTTTAATTTTTCGGAACCATAACAACATTAAGTCCTAGCAATACGATGAAATCAAATTTATGAAAATCAGCGCAACCCACGAACATTCGTTTACTGCTCGTAGCTATCTTTGAAGACGTTTAATATCACTATGATATGCACACTATTTTTTTGCGAACCGCTGAAAATGGAGCTGAGTTCGTCATTTTTGTTTAAAAGGTAACTAATCAGAATCATACAGAATATACGTTAAGACGTAGTCAATTGAAAACGAAATAATTACGAGTCTTTTAGGCTAAGTATTGATCAATTTGGATCATTGTCAATTCTTGTGTTATTGTTTTAATGGTAATAATTAAATGAGAGAAAAAAATTCGTCGTCGTAGTTGTTTAAAAACCAAGAGGTGCATAGAAAGATAGAGGTCCTGGAATGTAATACCTTATATTCGGCGTAATATCTTACCGCCACATAAAATTTCGGTCGACTTTGGTCAAAGGAATGGGAGGGAGGGGAAAATAACTTACAATGCCATCGATAATCACTATTCGATGAACTAAAGCAATCCAAATGCCGAGAGACTAGTTAACAAAACCGCAAAATAGTTGAATGGCCGGCGAAAACTCCTCTGATAAGAAGCCGGCTACACTGAGAAAAAAACAATCACAGTACATTTATTTACTGGCAGCTCATATTGATTTCCACGTTTTAACAATAAATATACCGTCTTTCCCGATATTTTTTTTCTATTGCATCGACGTACTTAGTGTACGAAAACGTTGATGAGATGGAAGTACTGTAAAAGACGGAGATCAATGCGGACTGCGAGTGCGACAAAGAATCTGACAAAAAAGTGTCCCTTTTTTAATGAACTCGGGGATTTCGTTCAAATATGGCCTAAACGAAATCTTATGATGAAAAAAATCCCCTAGTGGAAGTTTAAGCTTGTGTGCAAAGTTCGTTTTGGCAATAAAGCTTTGTACCTAAAGTTTACATGTTATACCATCGAAAAATGCGAATATTTTGAAACTCCTTGGCTTAAAAAAATCGATTTTAGTGTATCCCGTTTTTTTTCTGAGGCACAGTATTATCACTTGATGTTTTTGTACCTCAGTCAATAAAGAACAACAAACTAAAGTTGTTCCGTATCAGAAAAACTTCAAAATATCAGCATTTTTGAATGGCAAAAAAGTAAACTTTACCACTTTGTGTTGAGCTTTACACTCGTACTAAAACTTTAACCGGTGGATTGTCTTATTATAAGATTTCTCCACAGCTACATTTGAACGAGATCCTACAGCTCCCCAAAAACGGGCCCTTTTCTGACAGGTTCTTTTCCATTTGCTTGTCGTTCTTCATTCTCTTTTTTCTCAGTGTGAGGACTTGGCGGGGTCGCGCGTCTACGAGACGCTTCAAAATGAGTCTTACCCGAGGATGAATTTACCGTGGGTCTCACCGTTGTACGTGGTCATGACAAGGCCTTTGGGGACGCCATTGCCGTTGTGCGCCAGGCCACCCAAGTACTTCTGGTTGTTGTTGCCCAGGTACTGATGCACCGGGTGGAGGGAGGGGTGCGGTATCGTGTAAGGATGAGGGTGCGGGTACGCCTTGTCTATCTTGAGCTTCTTCTTTTTACTATTCCTACACGACTTGAAATCGAAGATGGACAGGAGCACTGGGAGGAGGAGGAGACCGTGCGCGGCCCCGAAAAGAACGACTAAGAATATCATTTTGAAGAAGACTAAGAATATATAGCTGCCGGCGACGGCGAGAGCGACTACCCCTAGGATGGTACTGATGGCGCCCTGGCAGATGGGGAGGCCGACGGAGTAGAGGCTCTCGCGGACGCGTTCCTCGGCGGTGTCGGCCTTGCAGGACATGTAGGCGTAGCAGATGTGGGCGGTGAAGTCGACGGAGAAGCCGGCGCACATGATGAGGTTGATCATGGAGATGGAGTCGAGGTTGACGTTCCAAAGAGACATGTACCCGAGGACGCCGGCCTCCACGGAGATGATGCACAGCGCCACCCAGATCGAGCACATCAGGTCCGGGATGAAGATGAACGAGATGAAGAGCATCGTTATACCGCTGATGAAACACGATTGGACTGAGGTCGGACGCACCAGCTCGAACTGAAACAAATTGAAAGTTTTCATTAGCGTATGATTATAAATATAACACCGGATAAAAAAAAAAAAAAAAAAAAAAAAAAAAAAAAAAAAAAACTTCGGCCATGCAAGGAGAAAAAAACCTCGTGTGTGGGACCCGAAGTTTAGGTCATATGGATCTCTGAAGTTTTCGGATTGAGCTCCTGAACACTTTAGGTATAGCTGTCGAGGTTCGGATCACACATCTGAAACTTCAGTTCTTACATCTGAAGTACTTCAGATGTGGGAACCGAAGTTTTTCGGATATGAGAACCGAAGTTTTTCGAATGTGAAAACCAAAGTACTTCAGATGTAAGAACTGAAGTTTTAGATGTGTGATCCAAACCTCAGTAGCTGGACCTAAAGTGTTCAGATGCTCAATCCGAAAACTTCAGAGATCCATATGACCTAAACTTCGGGCCCCACGCACGAAGTTTTTTTCTCCGTGTGGAAGCCGTACTTACGGGCTACATAGACATGCCGTCCGCGTTCGGGGCGTGACACCCGGTTTAATCTATAGGCTACGGCTTCAGCACCCGCTTCCAGCCTCTGAGCCCGGAACGTACGGTATGTCTATGCAGCCCGTAACTACTTTTTTTTTCAGTGAAGTTAGGTTTATTTACATAGATTGTGCCAAATTGTGAATTGACGGAATAAGGCAGGAAATGAGGGGATGCGATTTGACGGAGGAGCTCTTGCAGGATCGCTCTCAGTAGTAGTGGGTTCTCAGTGGGTGTCGCGGAGCGCACGGAAGTGCTGAAAGAGTGACATGTTACCGGTATACTTTATTTACATATGTCCCGCGGGGTCTTTCGGGGATTCAATATTTCATTAAGGACAATTGTAAGGGATCACATCAAAAGGGGATCAAATGTCATCACCTTTTTTGGCTGTTGATCCACGAGGTGGATGATGAGCTCTGTGTCACGTAATGAGTTAAACAAGTTTGCTAAACTTCGGTATGTTTGCGAAACGAAATACCCAACATGTTGTTCAACATCCACAACAACATCCACGGTAGGGAAGTCAGCACTTGAGTGTTGGAGTCCCGAAAGTAAAAACTTCCACTTTTGCCGAGATAGCAATGAAGGGTCCCTCTTAGTCTGTGGTAGTGACTATCTATAAACGACGTTATCAGAGAGATACATCAATCACGTCATCGGAAAGGTAAATTGGTGATGTCATCGAAAAATCGTTGATGAATGATGACCTAATCGCGAAGTCCGTCGGTGAATCAATCAGAAAACCTATGATAATGTCATCAACAAGATTTCTCGATGAAGACACTCTTAATTTTCTGATGACGTTTTCTGATTGATTAATTCATTGATCCAGTAGAACGCAAATAACGAGAGAAAAGTCTGGCACGGGTGTTCTGGGAAATTGTATAAACTCTGCAACGCTGCATCACGAGTGATCGCTGGATTGCAGTGTCAATAACAGTCTTAATCCCAGAGTAACATACACTGATGCAATTTTGCTCCCAAGTATAAAAAAGATCAATTGGAGTTGTATTTTAAGGAAACAATTTCAAAATATTTAAAATGGACTCATTTTTAATTCAATTTTTCATTCGACTTAAAGGTAAGATAAAGATGTGACAGGGCTGTTCCTGCTAATATTTCAAAATCAGTCAACGGAAGCGACGCATTTATTCAATTTGTTGAAAATAACGCCTTGATACAACTATTCGTCCTTTATGGACACGCAAGTTGCATGCAAATAAATTGAAGGCGCTTTGGTCACTCCAGTCCATGAGGTAGCGCACGCAGCGCAACTGTAATGTGTGGCGCGACGGTTTATAGAGCGCGAAGAGTGTTTTCGGTGCGTTTTTACCAACATCAACACCTTTGCTCGGCAATCAACACTGAACCGTTATGTAAAAACGACGTATGAACAATCGAGCGTCACCGAACTTACGGGAAAAATTGTGAGCTCTTTTTTTTTAAGTTTTCAAAAAATCTTTCCACAACGTAATTTAAAGATCCCGAAACTTTCAAGGAAATATATTCCCAACTTTTCTCAAAAGTTATGTTTTTATCAGAAGAAATTAGGCAACACCCGAATCTTGAACGGCGTTTTTCCGTCGAGACATATTTACATTGCAAACTTCCATCAACTTGCGTGCCACTGATGGTAAATATAAAAGTGTAACATTCAGAAATGAAGATAAAAGAGGAGAATACGCTCATAAAGCTGTTTTATGATGAATAATTATCGGACATTATATCTTGTAATCAATGAGATGAATTAGAATAATCAATGAACCGTTTTATAAATTTGCATAATCGAGAAGAGATAAATAATTATATTAACCCCCCACCTTCTCAACGGAAGGAACTTAGTATCCGTTGAGGACAGCATTCAGCATGCAAGAGGTAAAGAGGATGTGGATTGGTTGTCACGAGACTCTGTGAAATGAAACCTGAATCCTTAACATTCTTGGCCCTTGGTTCAATGGATTACTAGACAAGGTGAAAATTTAAGCAGTGTGATGACTTTTTTCTCATCAAAATTTAACGTGAAACAAAATTTGTTCCAAGGAGTCGCACAGATGATGAGCCGTAGTTCGAGACGCGTCTGCCACCAAAAGAAAAATTCGTCGCCAGTGATGTAATAACTTGTTTTAAAATTTTAATCACGTGACTTGTGCGGAAATAGTTCCCTCATTTCATATTTTATAGGTAAGTTAAAGGTTGAACTGACGGCACCTCACGAGAGACCATATGGTTCGTCCATAATTGTTTCTCTTAGTCTATGAAAACCACCCGTTTAAACCAGAAGGATCACTCAATTTAACGATAACATGTTTTAGTGTGCTATTTTTTTATTGCAAATCGACGGTGTAAGTCGGCAATCACATAACTCGTTTACGGTGTCTGAAAATCTCCGCCGCAATGTAATTTTTTAAAGGAGAACAAATTGACATCATTCCTTGAAGTTTTTGCAGAATTTGCTTCTCATAAAGAAAGAAAATCAAGGCAGTTTTGAAGAATTGCCATTGAGTAGTTTTCGGTGTAAAAAATAAGTATATGGTAGGAAGTCTGCGACGTCGCAAACCGAGTTATGTGATTGCCGACTTACACCGTCGAAATCTGTTTCTCGTATTAATGTGTTGGGCTATGTTCTAAAGACGGAAGAAGTCCCGAAACATCGTTAGTGTACGTAAATAACTCGAGTTATTTTGTGACATACATTTTTTTACGGATAAAAAAAATGTAACTATATATCATGACGCTTATAAGTGCCAACAACTTTAATTTCTCAAGTACCCCTTTGTCCCATAGCTTTATCTATCAATTTTAATAATTCGCTCGCAGGATTCTCAAACCAGTCAAGACAAAATATTCAGGCATAAGTTAACATACTATGCGCAAAATATATTGACTGATATATTAAAAGCTGAAATGATAAAATTATAATAGGGTTGTTAGGGTCGGCTAAGTGTTCTGCGTTTGGAAGCGAAAAATTCAGGGCAAAAAATACGGGATAAATTATGAAGGATATTTTTTCGGCTAACTGATGGTCATTTAAGCACAAACCTTGATAATCGTTCTCGCAGAATTGCTCCATTAAGAGTGAAAAGCTGGACGGGTGGTGAGCAAGCATTAGTAATCGTGTATAAACATGAAGGATGAAAATAATTTCGCGAAGAGAGAACGGAGGATCATACATCAATAATATTTGCGTTTTGAATGATCCACTGACGTTAAGTTAGAGTCAAAGTGCAAAATCACGGTGTCTTTAGGACAGCTGCAATATTGCGGTGTCGTCATCGGTAGCTCTGTCCAGTCTGCAAGTTCTGTGAGAAGAGCAATGCGTAATTATTTACTTTTGCCTCGGATTGATTGATTGATTGAACCAGACAGACATTAACTACGTCTTTCAGAAAAATCACCGCACAAGCTCTTCTGACAAATATTTTTCTTAAAAAAAATCGTTGATTATATTTCGTGAGGTCAACTTCGGGCGTGAGGTTATTTTAGGTCAAATCCGATCATTTAAAGTTCTAATTTTTTTTTAAAGAAAATACCCTTCAAAGAAAAGAAGGTGAAAATATGGGGAAAGGGATAAAATGGGGAAAGCGAAACTCATTAAACTCCTCCAGATTTGGTGACCATCTAAAATTTTTGATTTCCGTGGAAAATTTAATAATTATGGAAATCAATGTGTGAAGCCGATGGTTCTCTATAAGTGCTGTTCAAAAATTTATCTACATTGTCTAGTCATTAAATATTTGAGGACGTTTAAGACCTTGCATGTCCTTATATTTTCCAAGAAAACGGCTTAAAATCTGGTAAATCTCACCGGCCATTATGAAAAGGCGGATTCAAACGCTTCGATCGGAGGGGGGGGGGCGTAAGGGGTGCCCGGGGACTCCCCCGAAAATTTTTGCAATTTTAAAGCATCTAATATGCAGTTTGAGTCAACTCCGTCATGAATAATTACCAATTATAAGCGCCCTTCCTTCTACCTATCTTTCTTCCCTTTTTCTTCCTCCTTTTTTCGGGAAAACGGGGGGGGTATACGACCCGATGCCCCCCGGATCCATTTATGCCATTGGCAGACTGAAGGTACTTGAAGTCCAATCGATTCAAAGTTGATTTAGACCGTCAATTGCTAAATAGTCAAATTTTCAAATTCCCCAGCCGTTTTCGGAAAAAATTGCGACCTACTTGTGTTTTAGTACCTATCACATTGACATTATTTCGTCAATACTGGTGTAAAAAGCGTAAACAGTTTGAAGAGCTAATAGTAACAGCCAAGAAGAAGTAGACGCCAAATCCGTGTGTGTTGTGTGTTTGCCTGTGAGTGCTCATTAATCCGTCAAACTAAAAGTCACTTACCACGAATAGATCGTGTTGGAGACGGCGAATCTAGGTAACGTCAGTCAGCATGTTCAGTGGACCACTCATTAAAATGAAAAAAAATCCATGTCAAGATCTCACTTTCATTCGTAAAGTTGGTTGTCATCATCACTCACCAGTGGTTTGCAAAGTTAAAAGCGATGAAATCGAACAAAACCGTGCATTGTTCTCCATTTTAGATGTATTATCTAGGAGCTCGCAAAAAGCCAAGCGCGGGCACAATTGCTATGAATTATTTTATCAAAAGGTGGATGACCGAATTCAACCCCTACTGAACATATGGTTAGTGAGCGTAAGCCAAGTTGGATTAAACGAAAACTAGTAAATGAATTAATAAATCAATAAGCAAAATAAATATTGGCATAGCGCAGAAATCTCCCTTTCGCAGAGGGCAAAGCACAATCGATTGAAAACGTATAGCAGGTGTAAGCTAAGCATAGTGATGCGTTATGAAAGCTGTAAAGTCGTTAAACGGGGTAGTTTTACGCGCAACAGCTTGAGATTTTTTTTCTTCATTTTATTTTTTTTTTTAAATGATTGGGGCGCATGCGTTGAATGTAAAGTAGCAAAAATTGAAAAAAAAAAACAAAAAAAACCATTATTTTCGCTGTTTAGTGAACAAATGATATTAAGTACAGCCTCCGATTTCCGTAAAATCCGATGAAGTAGAGGGCCACACGTCAATTAATCACCCAAACGAATTAAAAAAGCTACACAATCAGTGTCCGCCTTCAACACATGTGCAATGAAGCAATGGAATTTTAACCTATAGACATAAAGCAAAAATTACGTCAGCAGGCTTATAATTGAAATTGGTAGGCACAAAGTGATGGGCAAGGAAAATAGAGCAATCCTATCGGAGTAAGTGGCTGTAATGGGCAAAAGAGATGAGAAATCAACTAACTATAATAATATTCCTCTTTACTCTATATTAATCATCCGATTCAACCAATCGTTCCATTTTCCCATTTTCTTTTTAGTCTATAATTTTAATAACCGATCCACTGGAGGGATGAAACGAAAATTAGCCTAAGTACATAGGATGCTGCCTAGTTCCCTCTCGCATTTCCTTTCATTTGACAAAACAACATAACGCCTTGAAACTTTACGTGAGTTTTCTGGCGTTTTAGCGTATTCGCATATTTTCAAGTAAGAAAGTTGCTTAGTTTTCCTGGGAAAAAAGTCTACGTACTATATAGGGAATCAGGCAACGTTTGATGTCGTTAGGCTAATTTTGGTGAATGCCGCCGATTTAAAGTCTGGAACTCCAATCTTACCTGATCGAAGAAAACAAAGTAGGGATGGAAAACGCTGACGTTCAAAGGCGACTCGTCGCATATCCGCCGGAGGTCCCGCACCATGTCCTTCTCCATGTTCCCGTCCGTTATGTTGACGGCCTGGATCATGAACCGCGATGCGATAATTTTAGACCCGTCCTCGTTGAATTTGATGTCCAGTGAGAACGGATTGGGTTTGAAGAGCCACAGCTGGAAAACAAATTTATCATGTTATGCCAACGGTTCAGGCGATTTAAGTGCATAAAATTGGAAATTGCCGGGATATTCATCGATCGGTAAGCTAGTCTGACAGACTCGGGTCTTCGGACTCATGAGATATGAATGGCGAAAAAATTTGCTCCTTCCTCAGTTTCGTACTGGTGCGCATTAGAGTTCAAAAAATTATTTTTGACTCTAATTTTAATTTTTGGAACTTCTTGGCTTTGATTTCCCCACGAAATGGTGTGGACCCAGCGCCATTTCTCCACCTTGTTACATAGATATGAATGGCTCGATACCGCATATTTGAAAACTGCCAATTTTGCAGGACAAAGAGTACCTAAGCTTCGACATTTTTGTAATTTGGAGGCTGGCTCTGCAATTTTTTCATGCATTACAGCGTCATTACAGCGCTCTCCTGGAATTGAATAAAACCTTAACATCGCCTTGCATATTGTATACTGTAGAATGCAATGGAAAAAATACACATTGGATCTAGAGTCCAGACTCTTGAAAACATTGACAAGAAAAAATACTCTTGATTCAATCGGATTTTTGCTTGAATCAAAACGAAATCCGCTTAAATTAAGAGGCTTGGCTCTTGATATGAGCTAGATTCTGATTGAATCAAGAATACTTTTTCTTGTCGATGTTTTTGAGAGTCTGGACTCTAGATCCAATGTGGTTTTTTTCCAGTGTGCGACAAAGTCGCTAACTTATTTTTGCCAAAATTTTTAGTTGGGTGGTATTATTCCTTAGCCCTCGAAATCGTCACTCCTTTGATTTAAGGGCATATCGGTATTTTGAGATGAGCCTTATAATCAATATAACTCCCTGCTTTCCAGAGCTCACGTGAAAACTGAGGTTCTACTGTACACTGGAAAAAATACACATTGGATCTAGAGTCCAGACTCTTGAAAACATTGACAAGAAAAAATACTCTTGATTCGATCGGATTTTTGCTTGAATCAAAACGAAATCCGCTTAAATTAAGAGGCTTGGCTCTTGATTTGAGCTAGATTTTGATTGAATCAAGAGTCCTTTTTCTTGTCAATGTTTTCAAAAGTCTGGACTCTAGATCCAATGTGTTTTTTTTTCCAGTGTATTAACAAAAACAAAAACCAGATTATATCGACCTGAGTTCGTACCGTAGGTTGTACTTGAAAGTTTGAGCTTTCACCATAAATCCCATTTTGTTTGCTTCCATCATAAATTTGTAATAATACATTTCAAAATTCATTGTAATAATACATTTCTTCAAATACGCAAGGAGAAGTCACCTATCATAAAACATACGTGGTTGACGTTTGACGTCATTCGCCGCATTAATGCTGGCGTCTTGCGGATTGTGAAGAAGCATCAAGATATTTTGTATTTTTGACATAAAGGGCTATTTCCCCTTCCCCTCTACTGTCTTCTTCGAGCATTCTCACCGTTTGATGACTAGCATTTTGTACACAGAAAAAAATGGATGGTGCTGACGACAAAAGGTTCTGTCGTCAGCACCATCCATTTTTTTCTGTGTAAGCACGGATTATGACATATTCCGAAAGGTCAATCAGTTTTGTTACTCTGTTATTATTTTCATAAATGTAAATAATGACAACTGAGCAGCGTCCTTCTTTCAAACACATTCCACAAGAGAACGGATTGAATCCGATCATGTTATTCCTTGAATAATGCATGTGCTCATATTATGATACAAGTCGCTGGGATATATCTTTGGCAGATATTAATTTCATTCTAGCGTCAAATCCGTCGTTTCCCCCGCGAAAGAACGTAACCGCATTTTAATGTTGCCAAATTTTCCGGCGCAAATTGAACTTTTACCAGGAAAACTTTGGGAATTTTTGACTGGAAATTTCACCGATCATTCTTCTGATCTCGTGCGAAAATCAGCAACATTTTAAACAAAAAAATTGCGTGGATACATTTTTGTAAAAAATTGAATCGATTAAGTCAATTTTCCAACCTTTGAATGGAGTTGTGTTCTTTCGTTCGGAGAGCGACGAATTATGTGATTCAAAACGAACTGGTTTGGTGACTACACGTACTTGCATACGTCATTCGGTTTGATCGATTGCAGGAAAGTACGAGAGAACAAAAGACAAACTGATGTGATGCAAAATAAGGATGTAAACATACCTCGTTTAAAGTTTTGAGGAAGTCTTCCCTCGTGTCAATCGAAACGTTCAAGTTTTCTTGATTCCTTTTGACATAACCGACGAACGACCTGAGCCAGGATTCGGTGTACAGAGGCGTTGATATATAGGGTGACGCTTCAAACGTTTGGGTCAAGTTTTCGATCTGCTCTTGAACCGCCGGTTCCCAATAATTCATTTCCCCGCTAATAATTACCTAAAACAAAAACCGGTTATGAAAAACACCTTAAAATATGCACCACTGTATAATGTGTAGAGAGCGTCTTTCTGCATGAATAAACTAATGGCCAATACGTTTTTTTACAATAAGATCCAAAAACAGTAGTTTCGTATTGCAAAATATAGTCCAGAATTTTTCACTAGCGAACGATTATTTCCGGCTCACCCACAGAAACATTTTTTTCATAGAGAAACTAATGGCACATATGTTGTTTTCACACAGAAATATTACTTCCCAAATCAAAAAGTTAGCCTAATTGTAAACTACATGTGAAATACATAGACTGGAAGATGTGGAACACCCGAAAAAGATGCGCAGAAAGCGTATATCAAGTGGACTAAATTTTGTCATAAGGAACTCCTGCTTTTGACTCATCTATAAAAGCACCTGTCAGCCTATGGGAACTTAAATCACATGTATTATTTATAAAATTATCCAGAGACAATAGCTCTTGATGCAAAATTATGTCCAGGTATTTCTCATTCTGATACGGCCAATTCGGGGTTTTTCTACTTTTCTATACGTTCGTTCAAGTCTCCTGCCGTATCAACTCGTCATTCTAATTGGGATCAACTCGGACACGTTTGAATATTTAACTCAGATGAAGCTCAAATCCCTCCGATACATCACTGTATATACATACTTCTTTGGGAGCTGATTATTTACATTGATAGACAAAGAAGACACGGGGAACTGGAGCGATCCTATAGGTTGAGACTGGTGAGTAGGTATCATCGGATAAGGAGGAAAACGTTGGACTAACTATAGGATCTCTTGTGAGTTGCTATTAGTGAGAGTCTATCACTGACCTCATTTCTCTATTACAATCACTTACTTTTACCAATAGGATCGCTCCATTCTCCATGTATCTTCTTTGTGCATGAATTTGACTATCAATTTCACAAATCATGCTCACTGAGCAGAAACAGGAAAGAGCTTCGGCTCTAAATTAATAAAAGTGTCTTTCCCAATCGAATCCCTTCAAGAAACAGAGAAATCGAACTTACTTGTAATCGATAAGGAAATTCTCTGAAGTAGAAATCTTCGCGGTCATAGAATTCGATGGAATACGAATTTTCCTTGGAGAGTTTCCGCCTTTGGAGTCCTTCTTGAAGGGTCGTGGTACCGTAAATGGCTCCAGCGATGTAGAGGATAAAAACTAGGATGATGAGGAGCCGAACCGGCCACTGGATGAGGTACCACGAGAGGGAGTCGCGACACCACCTCATGAATGCGTTCTCCGGGTTGTCCGAAGGGTTGTCTGCGTCCTTCGGGTTCACTCCACCCGTCATGAACTTTCGGTACAGCCAAGATTTTTTCGCTGCAATTTAACAAAACCTATTAATATTTGGCTATGTTAGGCTGGACGGTTGACAAATTTAACATGCGAAATGGGTCAGTTTCGCTAGTTATCAAATCGTGCTTGATGATTTCGGATTATAAATTGGACGAATTTCTGTCAAACGGAACTATGTGCATAAAGACATGAGCCCTAAGATCCTTAAGAGTATATGCATAACAGGACTCACGTCATAATGCACATAGTTCTGTTAGACAGAAATGTCCAATTAGGAAAATTAGGTTCTGCCCACATACAAAGTTTGAAAAAACGGGCAACTTTACCAGTAAAAGTTTCCCACTTTTCAATTCGGCTCTTTTTGTCCAGTCTTGCATTTTTGTTCCTTGTTTTAAGAAAAAAACCACAAAAGGGTTTTAAAAGCCATAAAGGCATTTTTCAACCAAATTGAAACCAATTTCAACTGAAAAATTCCCGCAATACTTGAGTCAATTAAAGTCTGAAGTAGATTTCGAAAAAATAAACTCAAGTAATTTCATAGAGAGGAACGGGCGAAACCCGACTTAAGAAGGATTTTAGCAACACTGTTTTCTTAAACAATTTCAAAGATATTGTTCTACAAGTCAGAAAGTTTTTTTTAATTACCGGCAATCAAAGAATTTGTAATTCCTTTTTTCAATTTTACACAAAATAACGTCACAATTTTCATGCGAAAGAAAATAATTAGCTGTGAGCTGCGGATAGTTTAAAAATAATTTAAAATGTCAGAAAATTGTTATAAATAGAGTTGCAGAAGATAAAACAAAAAGTGAAAAAAAATGTGTGATGAAAATACCTGAGAGTGAGACGGGCTTTACTTTGATACATAAAATTGAGTGGCGATTATCTTTCTCTGCATAACCGGCGATGGCCACACACGCGGCGAAAAATGTTACATGCCACATGAAAATGAAGCAAACTGCTAAACCTGTTGACAGGGCAAGTCATTGTCCGATTAGTGATGGTAAAAGTGTAAAGGCGGCAGGCATAACACAAATAACTTACAAGAAAGCAAAATGAAAATGAAAAGAAATTATATTTGATTAGCAGATGGAACCTCGGAGGGGGGGGGGGTTAAATTCTCTAAAAAATTTTTAGCCTATACGTCACTTTTCACACATATGAAAGGAATTAGTTCATTGCTTTTAATCAATGTGAAGTTATCAACTTTTTTCAAGTGCATGTAGTATCCATGTAAGGCCAAATAGTAAAAATGCAATAATATTGCATGAATAAGATACTTTCATTGACAGGTCTGTGCATTTCAGAGCACCGAATCTATCCTCAGCACCAAATATAAACGAAATCGAGCGTAAATCGCCGAGTATTGTTTCCCGTGAAGAGCTTTAACATGGCTAGATTTTGTGAATCTTCCAGTTGAAACGGGGCAGACATACAAGGCAATCCAAAAGTCTTCCACCACACTTATAATCCCTCTGAGCACTCACATAATTTTAAGTCACTATTTCTATGTTTTCAAAAGTTACAGGGGTGATTTCTGGGGCTGGTTGTGCGGGATTTTTGGGTCATCCTATATAATGAGGTATACCCACAAAAAAAAGACTACCCAATCGGAAGAGGAGCTGATTGATGACCTTGACTCAAAAATGGAGTGCTGACCGACTGATGATGCATCATTGTCAGATTTAATCGTTACTTTTTTACCGCAGTAAGCTGGCCCCACTGCCGTGCTATGGAGGAACGTGGTGTGTGCTTCCAGTGCTCCAAATTGCATGTGCTCCAAATTTCCTTTGGTAAAATTAAAATTATCAAGGCAATCTGTTAATATTTTTCTTAAAATGCTTGGACGATTTCATTCGCAATCCAATTCACAGTATCGGAACATTAGAGGGAAAGATGCTCTTGACTGTTCCCCTAAAAATACTTATCGATGGTTAAAGCATCAAACCGTGTACACCCGTTTGCAGCGTTGCTCATTTTCTATCCTACTACATTTCTTCCTCGGAAAATCAGTCAACTTAATTTCTTGAAACTTTCCTTGATTTTCCTTGTTAGCATATTCTGTCAGAATTTTCTGTATTTTCAAGCCTTAGTAATAGCTCGTTTTTCTTGAAAAAAAAAATAAAATCAGAGAGGTAATCTTGAAACTCCGTAATGGAGATACGTTGTATCACACTTCAGCCATCGAAATCTTAAGCGACATAAAATTCACCAATTTCCCCTCTAAAATATAAATTAAGACGGTTATGAAATACAGCAACTGAGAAGTGCCCTTTATGCACCAAAGGCCTAGATTTGAATGAACTTTACGTCATAATCTGACAACAACGCCAGCGATGACCGCGTCAAAGCTTGCATCGCAGGGGTTTTACATAACGCGCATGCGCGGCTAGTTCGACTCTTGCCCAAAACGTTGCTCCTCTAACAGACGTGCGTATGTCAATTCCCACATGAGCCCTGCTATCCGTATAACTATATCCTTTTCGTGACTCATACGGAAATAGAGATGCGCCTTTACGTTAGAGGAGTGACGAAAAGTCCCCAATTGGAACCGTCCGCTCCTCCTGTCTGAAGGCCCAAAGCTGTCTCGGAGGCATCTCGACCGCACAACCTCAAGGTGAAGGTCCTCTTACGTCTCTTACGTCGCGTTACGTCATCGAGGCGGTTAGCTTGCATAAAGCGCGGGTGCGGGGGTGCGGGTGTGTGGGCTTACGCGGCTGGGTCAAGCATTACGATGCACTAATTACGCCATCATCGAGAAAACGCATCACTCATAGACTTACTGAGATGCTCCGTCATTCGCACGATATTATTCCATGGCACCACACAGACGATATCGATGGCTATTCCTATTGTGGTGTTTCAAAATCTCCGCCTTTAGTTAATTTTTTCGAAAAGAAACAAGTCAACTTTAGGACGTGAAATTTTTACAGAATATTCTACCGATAGAGGGAAAAAACCAGAAATGTTTTCAAAAAATTACGTTGACCTATTCTCCAAGGAAAAAGCGTCATTGACCACGCGTACCAGACTTTTTTCTCGGTTATTTTGGGTCTTCCGAGGTCGCAGATCGCAGGGATAGAAAGGCTATCGACCCCAAGTTATCCGAATCTCATCATCCAAAAGCGCCCCCAGACCCTCTTAAGACCTTAAAAAGGACGGAAAAAATCTATGGCTTTGTAAACCAATTAGTGGTTCACATGGAACACCACTGATAGTCGTAAATGAACTAATGATTCTCGGTCTGTGAACCATACTGAGGTATCTCGTATCATACTAAGGTATATATACCATCACTATGGTATATGTGCTACTATTATATGTATGTTGCCTTTACTGCTATTAGTGGTGTTCCATATGAACCACTAATTGGTTTAAAAGCCATACGACGGTGAAACTACCAGACCACGTATCTCGTTTGCGGTGTTTAAAAATCTCCACTCACATTTTATTTTTTTGAAGGAGATCAAATCAATATCATTCCTTACAATTTTCACAGATTTTCCTCCGCACAAAGAGGAAAAATCACGGAAGAATTCACGAACTGACGTTGAGTAGTTTTCTATTTAAAAAATAAAGTATGACAGGAAGTCTGCGACGTCGCAAACCGAGATACGTGGTTCGGTAGTTTCACCGTCGCATAGCTTTTTCTTAAAGTTATGCCAGCTAGGGGGCGATGAATTCTTCGGGCTATTTTTGTGATACCCTCATCGGGGATGAATTGGGGATGAAAATAGCTCACCTGAGTAGAGACAGAAGATCTGGATGGACGGGAAGGGGCTGCTCATGCCGATGACGAAGCTGACGACGTCGGTGAAGGAGGTGATGGTGATGGAAACGGCGGCGTCGGACAACATGTGCGCCATTCTTTCCGGCACGCTCATCGTCACTGGGGTCCGTCTCCACGCGGCCAACATGACAAAAGTATCGTCAATACCGATACCTGCAACAATACACGCCAATTACTCCACATTGCTCCCATCTCCATCCTTGTCAAGTGGCAATCATACACACCCGCAATGGAGTGGAGTACCTTAATGGGGAGAGTTTGCCCACTGAAGGATGCACTTTTGATTGGCTTCGCCGATCCTGAAATAGCTCCTCTTCTTCGGAGGCCCAGGCTCCGTTGGTGCACATGGTGACTGAGGGAGGTTTTTTAGGAGATCCTTAACATAGCATTATGAGAAGAACAATTTCGATGAATTTCGAGTAAAATTCGACTGTATAAGGTTGGAAAGAGACCCTTGCAACATTGAACACATGAACGCATCCAGCGCAAAACGTTAGAAATTGGGAAGAGGAAATGCTACGATTTTGAAATATTTTAAGATAATTACGATCCTACTTAAAATTTCTAAAACTGGCAATTTTTTTAAACAATTTTTTTAAACAATTTTTTTTCATTTTTTGTAGAGGCATATCCTTACAATCCTTTGAGACGGTCATTTGCCAAATTTATACTGTTGACTTCTTTCTCGAGATTGTTGAAATTGTCAATTTTATTATGATACGTTAATTATCTCCTTTAACCTCCCTTAAGTACCATGTAAACCGTCTGAGGCCTCGTAAGGGAAGGAGCTGTCTAAAGAATACCTATGGATGCGACCCTTCTTCGGCCTCAAGGAGTTCTTGGTATTAATAAACAAGAAAAAAAATGTGGATACGTGCAATTTTGACTCAAAAGTGCAAATAATTGCTTGAATTACGGTGAAGTTACTCAATTTATACAGTCAGGGGTATGTACTCAGTTTTGAAACTAATTTTAGGTATTAAATTTGAAAACAAACTCTCATCTTGAACACAAAATTGTTAGCTCAAAATTGAACTCGAAGTTACTTAAAGTAAATGAAAACGTGAGCGGGAATCACCCACGTAATCGGAAATGAGCACTTTGTTCGACTTTGTATTGTTTGACTTTGTATTGTTCGACTTTGACCAACCTAATACCAAGAATTAAGCTTAATGATTCAAAATGAAAACATTACAACGCCCAATCCGATATTATTTCAATTTTATTTTCCTTGAATACTGGACTGGTTATGCGCGAGCAGTCGAGCACTGAAATTGAGATCCAAAAGAAGGAAAGAAAAAAACGGCACGGGAAGTTCTCTAAGATAAGATGACATAATTAACAAACTTACGGCGAAGTTATCTCGCCATAAATTGTTTATTAGCGAAAGAATACGAGTGATTACTACATTTTTATGAAGAAGTGATTATTTCATCGTTGTCGTCGGTCAATGTCCACACTGCTACTCTACCGTGCTAAGAAATAACGTCTCATGCGTCTTCAGGCGTTGCCATTTTTTTTAATGCAACATGAATTTTCCGGAAAATGTTTATATGTCAATTTATCACCCAATTTTTCAGAGAATTACAATCGCAATCAACTCAAGATCATCGAACAATTTTAAGGAAATAGGTGAATAATTTCCCTCAATAGTAAATATTTTATCGGAGGAAATTCGGCAATGCCTGACTGATCGTACGCCGTTTTTCTCTCGTATGTCAGTACTGTCTTCACTGAGCTCACGTGTGGGAGAAAGAAAAAAAATTGAGCCCTTGTATCAAAACAAACTTTGAGATGTGTTGTTGGGAGTAAACACAAAGCTCAGGTTCAACTCAAAGAAGAAGGTGACCTATCTTACAGCACTGCACGAATTCTTGATAATTGGTTTCCTTCGATGATACGACCAGATAATTTCCTCAACATGAAAAAAATATTAATTACACGTGTGTAAATGTATACTTGAATTGAAACTTTGTTCGAATCTACATAAAACCAGTTATACATCGACGGTGAAGCTACCAGACCACGTATCTCGTTCGCAGTTTTTAAAAATTTCTTCTCCCATTTTATTTTTTTGGAGGATAACAAATCAATATAATTTTTTGAAATTTTCTCGGAGTTTTCTTCGCATAGAGAGGGAAAAACACGGAAGTTTTCAAAAATTGACGTGGAGTAGTTATCCACTTAAAAAATAAAGTATGACAGGAAGTCTACAACGTCGCAAACGGAGATACGTGGTAGTTTCACCGTCCATATGGTTGTTTATAATTCAACGGTGGTTGCAACTTCTTAACTCATATTCGTTCATTTTATTTGTACTGAGTTTTTAGTCTTTATTAGAACGGTCAATTCAAACGGGCATTTTCCCAATTAAGACTGAGCATATTTTTATCTCCCTACTTTTGCGTTTAGCGAGAAACTTATGTAATTCTTTTTCCTCGTGTTAATAAGGAAAACTATTAGGTACATTTGCTTGAACATTTTGACAATCTGTCATATCTAACATGACTTTTTCTGGGAAAAATGTATATTTGAAGAAGCAAGCATAACGGGATCATAATGATAGATTACGAATATTCATGGTGCCTACATCGTGGATTTTGAAGAAAGAAAAAAAAGAAAAAAAATACGGTTAGACAACAATGAACCAGGTTAAAAAATTGTAGTTATCATGCTCCTTTGACTATGGCATTGTTTTGCACGTTGCTCAGCTGAACAGCTAATTGGATAGTGTTTTTTAACATACGGGCGATACTAATTAATATTATAATTAAAGAGGTTATTTGACATAAGGTATACAAATCGTGCATCTTCATTTTTATGTGAAAAAAAAAGCTCAGAATAGCGAATTATTTTTGTTTCTCCAACCAACAAAAAATTGTTCAATTCGGAAGGAAAAAAATCGTGTGAATTTTATTACCGAATAAATATTTAGTATTTTTAGAAGCAAAGAAAAAGTTGCAAAGTTTTGAAATTACTGTAATTGAGCTAATCTCCTCATGTTGAATGTAATCCAATTGGCCCATCCTCCGCCGATTGAACTAATTTTATTTTTTCCCCTAAGTTTTGATCATTGAGCTAACTGCCACTCAAACTCCAACTCAAGATTTTCCAACGTGACCAAAAACACCGTATAAGCGTCCAGACGTCATCTAACTTCCTCCAACGAACACGAATTTTTGGGAAAATTCGTGAGATTATTCTCCCAATTTTCAAAGAAATCTGAATGAAATTTGATCTAAATTGTCTGAATAAATTCCCGGTAAAATATTCATAACTTTCCCCAAGAATAAGTATTTTCTGGGAGTAAATGCGACAGCATTTTAATGTTCATACGGTGGTTTCGGCAGTATAGCATGCTGATAGTTCTCATCAACAGTGTTACTGTGTTTTCTCTACCGATATTTTTGACACCGGGACGGCAACTCCGTCGGTTGAACTTCTCTCAGTTTCTTTTTTCCAGCCTCGGGCGCTACACGATGTTTTTTTCCCCATACTCTATCCGCCTTTTTGACACAGATAATCACGACATTACGCCTCCTCACTTCCAAGAGTAAAAGGAAGCTGGGGATTCTCCCAAGTTTCGCGAGTTTTCCTCATCAGCGTCGTCGGGTTTTTGAGTTGGATACAAAATCAACCTCGCAAGGTTGAGGCTATCTCTCTTTTCTCACGATTGATCATAAATAAACTTCATTAAAAAGAGGAAATCTATAGATTAATTCCACGGTCACTATTCAGCACTAACAACGCCGCAAATGACCGCCTGGGCCCTTTATTTATCTTCTCGAAGAGAAAGCAAGCAAGCATATTGCTTGAATTTTATTGAAATAATTATAGGCTCTCTGAATCCTCAAAGGGGCAGACAGGGTTAAAATCGACGAGCTTTCGGAATTCGGAGATTTTTCAAATTTTTTTAGTTGATAAAGTATATATCACAGAGGAATTTGTGTTTCGACGATATTCACATTTTTTGGCCTGGAAACTACCCTGTGGCTCTAGAACTAAAATCCACAAGAATTCGCGTTTTTTTAGTGTTCCACATCAAATTTCGTGTTAGACTCAAAGGTGTTAGTATATGAGCTTTCGATACCATGTTCAGGACCACTGGAGACGTAAACTATGCGAGAAAAGTTTCTTTTAGAATCATCATGAGGTCAGATGTGGAACACTGAAAAAATTCGAATTTTTGTTAGTTTCGGCCTTGGAACCCAAAGAACTTCCGTTTCGAACCAAAAAATGAGAGAGTCGCTTGAACCCGAATCCTTCTGTAAAGTACACGTCGTCAACTAAAAAAAATATTCAGAAACAATCGGGATACTCGAATTGTGCAAGTATCTGCACGTTGGTTCGACCAGAAAATCACTTAGGTAGTGATTTTCAATTTTAAATTGCTATATTTTCGAAACAGCGAAAAAAAACTATTTTTGACCTCTGCCAAAGGTGTCGGTTGACCATCTTCACAAGACGTCTTTCTCTCGCTGCAAACTTTATTTCCAAATACCTCGTTATTATTAATTTATTCTCACGTGAAGTTTTGAAGTTGATACACATAACGGGATGCTATAATTCGTCACATTTTGGCCAAAGTATCACAAGCGCCATGCGACGTTTAAAAATTTCTGCCCCCATTTCATTTTTTTACGGAGAAATTTTCCAACGAAACTGTCAAAAATTTCATTGAATTTTCTTTGTGCAGCTAATAAAATTCAGTGAAATTTTCAAGCAGATGCGCAAGATGCAACCAAAAATTCTTCAGTAATAAATAAAAATACGGCAGAAATGTTTAAGAAGAGCCGGCAGCTTTTTCATCAAGGGACTTTCGCAAAAATTAAATGTCAAGGCGCCTTGTCGGAGGGTTTTTATGTAACAAAGGGGCTAAAGCAAGGGTGTTGACTCTCCCCCACCTTGTTTAAAATATACTTGGAACATGTACTGCGTGAGCAATTTTTAAACATGCATGTCACTTGTGATACTTTGGCCGGAAGGTGAGGCATTAATACACCATCTAGTGGTCCATTCCCCGATTTTCGTGGTCCTAGATACCGCGTCCTCGAGATACCTAGATCAAAAAATTCGGTGGTGCGTATGAGCCGAAGGTTTTTGAGGATATTGAGGTAAAATGAAGGACTCACTGCACATGAGCAAAGGCGCGACGAGGTTGATGCCGATGAAGGGGATGCCAAGGTAGACGGCAAATCCGAAAGCGGCGAGGGTGCCCATCGCGGCCGAGACGTTCCCCAGGAGCCCGAGGAGAGGCTTGGAGCGGACCCAGTCGGCCATCATGCAGGTGACCACGCTGAAGAGGGCCATGATCACGAAAGTCGAGCCGAAGTACGGCACCACCGTCCGCGTGTTCTTCTCCAGCTCGATGTCCAGGGTTCGAGACGCGAACCGTGCCGTCGAGATGTGCTTGAACAGACCGCCGTCCTCCGCGTTCCCCACGGCCTCCAGGAAGGCGTCCTCCCATCTCGCACCCCTAAAAAAAGCATCAAGAAATTTAGAATATAAGTGAGAAAAAAAAAAAAAAACACTTGGAAGTGGCCCGAATTGTATGTAACAAGGTGGAGGAACGGTGCTGGGTCCGTACCATTTCGCGGGGAAAACAAAGCCAAGAAGTTCCAAAAAACTTATATTACAACATTGTTTTTGGAACTTCTTGGCTTTGTTTCCCGGCGAAATGGTACGGACCCAGCACCGTATTTCTACCTTGTTTAGAGTATAGGTGATACCTCTAACCTTTTGACCCGTGACTGGACCTGTGGAAAGGGACGTCATCCTCCGGAAGAAAATGCACCCTCCACATTTTGTAAATGCGTGGAGGAGAAAATTTGGAAATTTTGGCAGAAGTCTAGGCAGAAGGAGACCCTAAAATTTCAAAAATTGAGGGAAATATGGACCGCGTTCAGCAGAAAGGAACTAAAACACATCAGGTATTGCCAAATTTAATTGGGTTAATTTTTTACATGAAAACGACTGTGTGGATTTTTGTGCAAATTTCAGTGAATTTCCTGCGTAGTACGAAGCAAGTTCATCAAAATTTTCAAAGGCATCCGCACCAAAGTTCTCTTGTAAAAAATTAAGTTGCCTTGTTAAATTTGGCAATGGCTAATGTGGCTTGGTTCCTTTCTGCTGAACGCGGTCCATATAGTCTCGAAGTTCTGAGATGAAAATTCTTAGGTTGTAGGAAAAATTTGGTTTGAATGTTTGTTAAAAAATAGGACACATTTTTTCCGGGAAAATATAGACCACTGGAAAAAAAAACACATTGAATCTAGAGTCCAGACTCTTGAAAACATTGACAAGAAAAAGGACCCTTGATTCACCAGATTTATGCTTAAATCAAAATGAAATCCGCTCAAATTAAGAGGCTTGGTTCTTGATTTAAGCTTAAATCTGATTGAATCAAGAGTATTTTTTCTTGTCGACGTTTTTAAGAGTCTGGACTCTAGATCCGATGTGTTTTTTTTCCAGTGTCCCTTTTCACAGACCCTCTAACTTATGCATATGTTTAACAGAAATGTTATGTGAAATAAGAAAATTCATTGAATACTAAATCGACCGCTGGCTTTATCTTCTGTGCGCATAACATACTGTGCTGTAGTAAATTATTCACATTGCTGAAAGCGCAATGTCACGCAAAAAGCACTTTCAGGTCACAGTAATTCTTGCACACACCACGTATTCTGGTGGCTGTTAGCGTACACGCGGGGCTCATTCTCTGCCTATCGAAAATTAGATCAAAAATCCGTTGTTCACGTCTTGGGTCAAGGAACGCATCCTCTGTACTGAAGCTCATGCTTTAACGACGTGCTCAGTTTAGTCGAGACAACCATGAAATTTCTCGAGGCCCACGTCCTCTTGACGGCTCGTTTTTGTCGTACGAGTCGTCTTTTTCATGAGGATTTCCATGGGTGGGCCCACTTTCAGATGCGCTCACCGATACACACGACCTCAAAAACATGAAAATCAATGCATGCTTAATCCGTTTGGTGCATTAATACTCTCACTGAGAAACATTTTTTAAAAAAAACATGTTTTATATTGAATGAATAATTTGTCGTCGATTTAAAGAAAATATTTCATTCAATATAAGAAAAATTTCGTTGTCAAAATTCATTAAAATGTATTAACTACTGCGAATACTCAAAGAGTGCCATGTTATTCGATTGTGATACATTTTGATCTGAAGGGGCTTTTTGCCTGAATCATCTCATTTTTTGCTGTTGAAAATAATTGAAAAATAATTGAAAATAATTATATCAAGCAATTAATGAAGAGTATAGCTGTTTCTCGTTAAAATCGAATGTTTAGAGAAGAACGATTTGACTTAATCACACTATCAATTATTAGATGATTGCTAATTGCTGTTAATGTATTGTATATTTGAATCACATTTAAAAACCAAACTGTAATAGTTAGATTGGCCTGTGAATCGTAGTGATGAGCATTAATTGAACATATATTCCGTGAAAAATGCAGGAATATCAAGCAAAAAACTAAAAAAAAACTAAAAAAAAGTAACTAAAAAGTGGATGAACACGGGTGAGCATGGTTGATGAATTCATTAAGAGGAATAAAGAATGAATACTGTTGAAATTGAGCTGTCTGTTCATTTTGTTACAGTTTTAGAAACGCCCAAGAATAATTAATTTATTATTAAAACGAGACGTGTTTGTATTTATAAAGGTCAGCACTCATTCGATTCATCAAAAACTAGGAGGAGCAAGGCAGGGGTCAACAACCGGAAACAACTTTTGCACGTCATCAGACTTACTTTTGCAATTCCACGCATATAAATCTTTATATTACTATGCTATATTTTCCGATAAAGAAAGCAATCTGTCAGCGTCAGCATCAGAAAGATCTTCACTGAAATCTCCCTTCAAATTTAAGCAGAATACATAGTTTTCGATTGTGTTCTACGCAAATTGTGTTCTACGTGAAATTTTGAGAAGAGGAAATGTAACAGATGGCTTTTTGCGTTTTGCCTGGTGGTTCATTTAGTATCTAGACTGTAAAATCTCCAAAAATAGCCAGCATTTTAAGTTTTGCTTTGTCGTGATAGAACCAGGAGTAAATGTCGGAGATTAATCGCGCCGCAATGGAGATCAAATTATAAAAATGATGGAAAAAAATACGGTGAAATGGGATACAAATCAACGTGCTCCTGAGTCGAGAAATTGCCTACCTATGCACACTGAAGGCGAACATATGAACGAAGTAAAGCCGCTACGTTCATGCTATGTCTTTGGCGTTATCTATACCGACATAAAGTACAGGAAAACAGGATACGTGATCCTAGGTCGAGAAATTGCCTACCTATGCACATTGAAGGCAAACATTTACTCAAATCGCTTGTTCAGTGTATATACTTAGTTTTGAAACAAATATGTAGTGCATTTTATTTGAAACAAATCTGTTTAACTTGAACCATCACTACGGCAAGGTTTTAATAGGTAGAGTGGATGCCAAACGTCAAAGGTTTGAAAAAATCCCTTCTCACCCGTTCCAACCTACTCCCACCTGAATTTGCCGCTATTATTTTGACTCTAAGAGGTGTATTCTATGTAAGTCAGTGACCACACTTTCCAGTCTCTCTCTCTCTCTCTCTCTCTCTCTTAAGGGGAATCAATCGGCTGGTGATACCCAATTAGGAGTCATGTGTCCTAACTCCGTCTTAGTGGGTGCTCATGGCAACAGGTCGTTTGTTTTTTTACTAGGAATTCAAGCAAAAAATAATACAAAAGGAATGGGTAAAAGAGGGAGAAGAGGAGAATAATTGACCGAAAAAGAAGACACGATTTCCAGTTCCCACGGCTCCCAACCTGGCTTCCCAAGCTAGATCATCGCATCCCCCTTGGTGCTGTATGTTGTGCTTGTGCTTTCCAGTATCTACACGGAGAAAACAACTTCGTGCATGGGACCCGAAGTTGAGGTCTTATGGATTTCTGAAGTTTTCTGATCACGCATCTGAAAACTTGAGGTCGAGCGGCCGAAGTTCGGGTCGGACATCGAGGGACTTCGGTATGTACCGGAGCACTTCAGATGTGTGACCCGAACCCTTCGGTATATATCGAAGTAATTCAGATGTCTGACCCGAACCTCTCGCAACTGGACCTCAAGTTTTTAGAAACGTGATCCGAAAACTTCAGAGATCCATATGACCTCAACGAAGTTTTTTTCTCCGTGTAGGTACGCTGTTGGCGATTCTGGATGCAATGAAGATATGAAGATGGAAAGCGCGGTACCTAGCGTCTTGGGTCTTGGTATCGGCGGTGACGAAGTAAGCTAGCTGGAGGGACGGGACCCTAGTGATGAGGCTGTCCTCGTCGATCTCGGTGCCGCCGAAGTAGACCGGGAAAGCGTGGGCGTCCCAGGTGACCGGGTTGAACATGATCGGGAACGTGAGCTTCAGGGTGTTGTTCTGCACCTCCTCCATGACCTTGTCCAAGTTGAGGATGTCGTTCTTGAAGCACTCGTCGAGCCACTTGGCGCAGAGGTCCTTGTACTGGTACGGCTGGTCGTCCTCCCCGTACCAGATCGTCGCGTTCTGGACGATGTCGTCCAGGAGACGCAGCTCCTTCCATATGTCCACCGTCAGCATGTTATTCCCGTGCTTCGGGATCACGATCACCCTCCCGAACCGACCTGTAACAAACGCAATAATTTCCGCATATTATTACGAGAAGCACATCAATTGGACGTATTTCTATTAAACGGACCTAAGCGTCATAGGGTGAGGAAGGTAGAGGGGGGCTTGGATTGGCGGCGGAATCCGGCGTCCGGCTTATTCCGTCCTAATACTCGCAATGCTTTTCCATGGCGCTTAGGTCCGTTTGATAGAATGCGCCATCCGGCATTCTAAATTCCTCAAAAGGAACTCAAATTGGCGCTTAGTTCCGTTTGACAGAAATACGTCCGATTGCATTTAGGCGTTGGGTGCAGAAAAGGCATTTCTTAGTTGCGGTGTCTCAGAATCTTCAGAGCTAATTTGTATTTTAGAGAGGAAACTACGGGAGAATTTTCTGAAATTTCTCGTTTATCGCATTGTAAAATCATAAAAAAAATTCAATGAAAGAATCAACGATTTTCATACATTTACATTAATCATAATGGATGAAACGTTAGCAGAGATTCTGAAACAGCGCAACCAAGAAATGCCCTCTCTGCATCTAGCGCTTCAATTGTATATGAGGCGTTGGGTGCAGAAAGGACATTTCTTAGTTGCGGTGTTTGAGAATCCTCAGAGCTAATTTATATTTTAGAGAGGAAACTATTGGGGGAATTTTCTAAAATTTCTCGTTTATCGCATTGTAAAATCATAAGAACTGTTCAGTAAAAGTTACGAAAAATTACGCACATTTGCTTTAATTGTATTGGATGGAACGTTAGCTAAGATTTTGGGACACTGTGACCGTGAAATACCCTTTTCTGCACCTAGCGCTTCGTATGTTGCAGGCAAGAATGATACAGGACACACAATAATGACATGAACAATTTAATGAAAGCAAAAGAAAAATTGCGATATCACAAGAAAATAGGAAACCAAGGCTAAAAACAAATAGCATGCTTGGGACGTTTTAGGCATTCTGTTCCCTGCGCTCTTAGGTCCCTGTTTGCCAAACGTGTGAACCGAGGGACATTTTATAACACGGCAACTTATGGAAGAATCGCGGGTTGCGAGGAGTTTTCGAGTTTATTAATTTAAATCGATCATTATTTTCGCGAACTCTGGCAAATTCTGTTCACCGAAATCGTGACAGATAAAAAATGTACGAAACTGCGAGAAGTGCGTATGAATGAAAAATGTACCCAGTTTTTCTTATTTCATTGTTTCTTTGAATTCAAACTTTATCCGTATGCACCGCAGCACTGCAGCAATGAGCGAAATGGCAGGGTCAAGGAATTTCCGAGGCATTTAAAATTACCTTGATCCCTTCCGTCCGTCCGTTTAATATTTTTTCTATTTCTGTTCCGTACAGAGGAAAACACTGGCCAAGCTATAGAAGAAGTCAAAGAAGAAGAGGAAGAAAAACAAGTAAAGGAGGAGGAAAACTCAATAGATAGAAAAAGAGAAATAATTGTCGGCATGTAGGAGTAGAAAATCGTGCAGATGCACAAGGATAAAAAAGGATGTCAGTGATTTCAAGATTCCTGATTATAGCAGATGATATCCAGGAAATTCAATTCTCAGTTATAGATTTCAAACGGTGCCTTTCACACTGCTGGTGAATGTAACCAGATGCATCAGTGGCGAAACGTGAATGATCGATTATCGATATCTCCCTATTTGAGGCTGTGAACTGCGTGGATCGATGGTTATGGTGTTCGTTGCGAACGCCCTGATAATCGATCTTTTTTCATAAGTTTGAATGACAAATCAATCAATACATCATAAAGCATGCCATACTACTGAAAGATACGTGATTAACACGGAATCTTGGAGCCACTAACATTCTTTTCAAAGTATGCCTTATTATAAATAGCTTGAGAATGATGTCTAGATCTAGACGTCATCCTGGAGGAAAATAAAATGATGATCGCGCGCAAAAACTCGTTTTAATCGAGTGAGTATCTACTAAAAATGATTCCGATTGAGCATCCAATTTCACAGCTTATATCGTCACCTTCCAGGCAAAGTATCACAAGCGCCATGCGACGTTTCAAAATTTCCGCCGCCATTATATTTTCTTACAGAGAAATTGTTCAACGAAGCTGTCCGGAAATTTCACTGAATTTTCTATGTGCTGCCGATAAAATTTAGTGAAATTTCCAAACAGATCCAACCAACAATTTCTCAGTAAAGAAATAAAATGGCGGCGGAAATTTTTGAACGTCGCATGGCGCTTGTGATACTTTGCCTGGAAGGTGACGATATGTGTATCCAATTTTTCATACGAGTGCGGTTGAAGGGGCTCCTCACTGAAAATCGTTGAACGCTATCACATTCATCCAAAAAAAAATCTGTGCCAATCGCGCCCATTCTAGAGTTGCGTAGCGAATGGGCGTATGTTTTGGGGTGCCACACACGGGAGGGATGAGGCGCCCAAAAGTGAGGCTCTGCTGCGCGCGCACGTCGCATGTTTGGATTGTAATTTCGCGGCAGATTCGAACCCAAGGGGCGAGTTCCATAATACATTCTTCTCAAATGCACAGTATTAAAGTAAAAAAAGTCCAGAGTTTTAATCACGATTACTTTAATTAAATTTAACCTCTCGTAAATCCATACGTAAAAAGGGTTTCCTTCTCCGTAAATTTTAACAGTTTTATAGTGAGTTTAGTGATTAAAATTTACAATTTTTAGGAGATTTTTTAAAGTTCTTACTACAAGGGAATGTCTTGGCGAAGATTCTTTACTTTAACTCGCTTGCTCTTGACTTTCACATGGATGAAGCTAGCAGAACTTTTCGTGGAAGGGAGGGGGAGGATACGCTCCCAGGTCGCTCCCTCAAAAAAAGAAGAAAAACCGCAACAATGATGCTGTGGGATGTTTCTTTTGGGGGGGGGGGGGAGCCTCTCGAGAAGGACTGGGCAGTGGGCTCCTCTGATGCCAGCTTTGCTCTCTCTCTCTGATATTTTGGTACCCTGCTACGAAATTTCTTTTCCATTTTACTGTTAGCCTTTCATCCTTACTGCTACACGAATTGTTAATTTGAGAGAATAAGATTGAAGGAAATTCATTTGTGAGCTGTCTGGAAAAGAGAATTGGACGTATTTATGCTACAAGGAAATATGTGCAAATGAGTGAAAGCAAAAAGATTTTTCAAAAGAAATTCAAAAGAAAAGCAAAATTCAAAATGTAATAATTCATACAAATTACGAATTCAACAAATATTGCCATTAATACTTTAATCATCACTTAATCAGAATACTGCTTCTTGAGCACACTGATGGCCTAAGTCCAAAAACATGCATTTTGGATTCAAGACGTTAGTCATTTTCCAACATGTTTATTTTTTCTAAGGAGAAATGATCCCAGTTTTCTCTTTTAATTTCCGTTGATTTCTCTTCAAGACAGAAAGAATATCCTGTAAAAATTTCAGACGTTTTTCTGCAAAGATACTCAGGAGACACATACATTTATTAAACTTAGTAATTGAGGTAGGTACCTATGTGTTTCTAAATGTAGGTACGCTATAGCAATAGACTTATGCCTATAATCATAATTATAGCGGGTGCAGGTACCTATTGCTTTTATCGAGGAAATATTGTTTGAGATTTTTGAAGCTTAAGGATTTAGAAAAGAGACGAGAAAGTGCTAAAGTAAAATTGAACGTATTTATGCTGAGAAGAATTATGCGAAAATAAATCGAATCAAGAGGATCTATGTGCATAGGGCTCACAAGCTACACTAATCTTTTTGCTTTCACTCATTTGCACATATTTCCTTGTAGCATAAATACGTCCAATTCTCTTTTCCAGACAGCTCACAAATGAATTTCCTTCAATCTTATTCTCTCAAATTAACAATTCGTGTAGCAGTAAGGATGAAAGGCTAACAGTAAAATGGAAAAGAAATTTCGTAGCAGGGTACCAAAATATCAGAGAGAGAGAGCAAAGCTGGCATCAGAGGAGCCCACTGCCCAGTCCTTCTCGAGAGGCCCCCCCCCCCCCACAAAAGAAACATCCCACAGCATCATTGTTGCGGTTTTTCTTCTTTTTTTGAGGGAGCGACCTGGGAGCGTATCCTCCCCCTCCCTTCCACGAAAAGTTCTGCTAGCTTCATCCATGTGAAAGTCAAGAGCAAGCGAGTTAAAGTAAAGAATCTTCGCCAAGACATTCCCTTGTAGTAAGAACTTTAAAAAATCTCCTAAAAATTGTAAATTTTAATCACTAAACTCACTATAAAACTGTTAAAATTTACGGAGAAGGAAACCCTTTTTACGTATGGATTTACGAGAGGTTAAATTTAATTAAAGTAATCGTGATTAAAACTCGATCTGGACTTTTTTTACTTTAATACTGTGCATTTGAGAAGAATGTATTATGGAACTCGCCCCTTGGGTTCGAATCTGCCGCGAAATTACAATCCAAACATGCGACGTGCGCGCGCAGCAGAGCCTCACTTTTGGGCGCCTCATCCCTCCCGTGTGTGGCACCCGTATGTTTTGTTAATATATTTTTTAAAAACAATTTAATACATCGAAATGGAATTAGGTAACCCTAATTTTAACCGCAACTGCTGGCACTTAGTTACCTGGCAATATAAATACATTATTATTTTAGATTACTCTAAATTCTAAATTTTAAATGTTAATCTCTGTTTCATTTAAATATGTTTTCAATAACTTCTAATTTTAAAACTAAAATAAAATTTATAAGAAAGGTTGCTTGTCATTAATTTACATCGCGAATTTTCTACGTAACGCCCCTGTAACGCAATTGTAACGCAGGGTCAGGCCCGTCTCTCTACAAAGCGTTTTCGTAATTTATGAGCTGTCTCAAACGGGGAATAACAATAAACAGACCACTTGGGTTTCAAAAAACTTGATTTATTCCTATTAAATCCATTAAAATTATACGTACGAAGAGTATTTATGCTGTGAATATACCGCCACGGGTGTGCCATTATTAATTTATTGATCAATTAATGACTCATAAAACACGAGAAATTTTAATGGCGAGAAATAACTGAACGTATTGAAAAA